CGAGTTCTTTGATATAAATCGTAGAGTCAATTTTAGTTATAACTTCAATCCCTCAACCTTAGCTATAGATACTCTGGAATTTTCTCATTTTTTTCTTTTTTAATCTACATTCGCGCTCTCCCTTCTCGATAATTTCACCTTTTATTTTTTGTTTTTCTTATTTGTATTTTTATATTCATATTCATTTTATACTTTTCATTTCTTATTTATTTTCTTATTCTATCCCATCCCATCCCATCCCAACAAAACAAAGCAAACAAAACACTCCCAACAATCTCCTCGCACCCATATCACATTCCAAACCAGATCGTGATTCCCGCGCAAGCGGTCTGGGTGTAGACGGCGAGAGGACAGAGTTTGACGAGCAGATTGAGGGTGCACGTGGGGTAGGTGTATTGGTATGTGTAGTTAGGGGGAGGGAGGGGGTTAGTTTGTTTATTTAGCGGGATGGGAGCACCAGGAGGGAGGATGAGAATAGAGGGAATGGGGGAGAGGGGAAGGGAAGAGAAGGGAAGGATTTACTAGTGGCACATTTTGGGGCGAGAGATGGATTGAGGATGTGATGTGATAGATAAATAGATAGATGAAGCTCGAGGAAGTAAGTAAGCTTACTTTTATATTTCAATTTCTGTCTGACTTTGAGATGTAGTGAAGTGATTATCTGATGGGAAGATGTGCGCATATGTGGATGCAGTGTAGGCAATAGTATTTCCCGTATTTCGTATACGGGTTAGTTTAGTGGTGCGTATCGAATTTTTTCGAAATATGTACGTATGTGGTATAGAATTCAATATCATGTAATTATTCAATACTATTAGCAATATGCTGAAATATTAGAATCCAATATAAAATATATATTTCTATTCAAATTAGGCTAGAAATAAGGGATTCTCATTTAATTTGAAATAAGGAATGGAATTTTATTACTTAATTAGGATAGGAATGTATATTTTATATTGGATTCTAGTATTTCAGTATATTGTTAGTATTCTTTAGGTATATGAATATGTACGAGAGTGGTATAACCTTCTTTCTATATGTACTAGCTGCAATATCAATATGCTAATACGCGCTACAGTTTCACTGTAGTATACTATTGCCTACACTGTGTGGATGATTTTCCTAAAAAGACACAAATCATGAGGTGTATAGTAATGGTAGTAGTAGTATATCCAGAATTTCTTATCTGCTCATCTGCAAGTATACAAACCAGCTTGCGCTTCCATACAACTTTCATTGAAGCATACTCTCGCGATTAATATTTAAATATCATTCCAAGATTACTTGATATCTCCCACGTTGTCCATCATACCATACCACATGTAGCACAGTCCTTTATATAACTCAGAACCGAGATATCATCTCATATGTAAAAATCTTGCTTGTTGTTTCAAGTCCCCTTATTTGTTGTGCTTTTGGTTGAAGAAAAATTTGCTATACGCAGTTATGTATGTAGATATGTAAATATGTAGATTGTGTGCGAGTATGTTTGGGCTGGAAGTATATCTGATCGGCGGGTTGCACAAACATACGCAGTATGTATTTCAAAGACAGGAACGAGAAAGATTGGATGAGTGGACTTTGTTGAAGAAGGATTGAGGGCTGCTGAGCCGCTCACTGGAGGGTGCTTGCTATTCGAGGATGATCATGAAGGACGGCTACTTGCCGATGAAGAAAGGAATATTTCAATCGGGTTATTTTGCATGGTTGTTTTGTTTGGCTTGGGTTCTCTTTGGTAGATTGGTAGATTTGGAGGAGATAGCTGGAGAAAGTAGATAAAGCAAACGGACTAACGAGCTTTCTTTACTGGAGAGTATACCCAGCCTTGCTGATGTAGATACGATCTCTCTACATATCAAAAATTCTAATCAATCAATCAATCAATAAATCAGCAAGACGATTCTTCTCTCCCAGAAAAAGGAGACAAAAAATAGGAGTAGCGAAGTAATTTCATGCAAGGTCCCTTGACACAAAAACCCATCTACCAAAAGCAGTCCAAAGGAAAGCAGCAAGCATTATCTAGAACCTCATTCGGAACCTTGCACAAACCTGAAACTCGCGTAATTTCCTCTCTGAAGAGTGGATCTACACCGCTTTTTTCCTTTTTGAGTGATCGAGTGATGAGGAATAGAATGAAAAAAAAATTCCTGGTTGGTGAAAAGGGTGGCTGCATATTTCATGGATGGAATTGTGAATTGTGTGTTGGTGCTGGAGGAAATGCATGTGTTGGCACCACAGAGCGAATAATGAAATAATGCAATGATGAATACGGGACAGAATACTTGGATATCGTATGAAAGATAGATTCCTACTCATTTCTTCATAACTGTTTGTGAACTTTATGATGATTTCTCATTGGACAATTGGTGTTATTTTCGAGGTACCTACGAGTACCTACCTAGGTAGATTTAGAGAGATGGATGGATATACTAGGGACATCGTAAATCGTGATAAATGTAAATGCGTAATGCGTAATGCTATCCAGTAAGAGCGGTGAAGGGGGGACTTTAGCTTCATCTTCTATTTAGCTAAACGCATCTCTCTAAGTTGCATATGCATAAAGTGATGAAGCCAGTCGGAGAATTTCCATCCCAACGATTAATATCCAAATGGTGAAAGAGCAAGCTTCATCTGTACTATTTATGGCTACCTGGTACCTTGACGCTCCTAGATCTGTTGGCTGTTATTGGTCTGGAATTTGGATGGCGATTGGTACATGTACGGAGTAGAGGATAGCTTGCAGCTTGTAGCTTGTTGCTTGTCATCTTGTAGAAGGTTCTTTTTTTGGAGATTCAGTTCCTTGCAGGTGAACCCATGGAGATGAATGAGTGCAGTATCTAGGTTCTGTTCTTTTGCTATGTTGGAAGCTAGATGGCTAGATGGCTCGCAGAAGAGTCTGATGGTTTCATTATTTGTTGTAGATACTTTATCGGAATAGTCTCAATAAATGTGAGTATATATATTCCTCTTCAATGTAATTTTGTAGCTTCTTGATAACTCCTTCTAATGGTATTTGAGAATTGTTATTATTAACTCAACCCTTCATAACCGAGGTTACCCCACTACATATACACTTACTTGAAACATAATCATAACAATAATCATCTTACATAGTAGAACTAATACATTCATACATTCATACATTTATACATTAATCCGTCATACACATCCTTCACATACGCACCAATACCAAACTGTCATACCAAAATAATTCTACCAGTCTGTCGTGTACATCGTATCAAACGGGAACGCTCTAGCTTCTTACCAAGATATCAGCCTTTCTCCGTCCCATTTCCCATTTCTCTCTAATCTTCCCCCAAATGCTCCTCACTTCTCACTTCCCACTCTATCTGTGCTGCCACGTATCTTTGCAGGTCGCTCCATCCAACGCCAAAATATGCAAGTACAGGCGTTCCGCATCGAAAAGATCGTAGCTTGTGCATTAAACCCTCCAACTACATTGCTGCACGACGGGGGAGCGATAATTCCAAGTGTCCAAGTGTGTCGGGGTATTGCATATTACTTACATGTCCATTCGAAAAGAGAAGAAGAGGTAGCGTAGCTTCCATCATCAAAACCTCCTTCTTGATCTTTTCCACGCTCGCCTTTTCTGCATTGCATCTCTTCCAACTTTCCAGATCTTGCAAGAATTCCAATTTCCTAGAATGTGGTTTTGTTCCTGAAGACACAAGATTCTTTTTGATATTTTTTCTTGTATACGCTCATTTTCAATTGGGAACAGCAATTCCCTATCTTTTGAATCGATTCCATTCGAAATTTTCCGTACACAGAAACGTTTTTATTTTTTCTGGTTTTCCTTTTTGCCGTTGTTCTCCCACATCAACATACGAAAGCTTCCTTGCAACATTTCTCCTCAACCCCCCTCTCCCAAATATCATCTGTACAAAACACATCTGAGAGACGTCCATCGGTCACCGCCTCTCGTGTACAAAGACATTTTGTTTCAGGTGCAATTGCGCCCATTGAAAAGGGAGTCGAAATGTTTTGTACTCATTCAAATCTCTCTCTTGAAGGATTAAAGGGTTCTCGGTGATTTCTTCGTGTGTTGAGCCTGCTACTAGGAAGGCCAAGTACACTTGCAATTGGCTGCCAGGTCATTGTTGCTTCACGTCAGTGAGAACTTAATTGTATTATATCTGGTCAGTGAATGGGTCAATTGTTTGAATTGATGTACCTACCTACTCCTGTGGATTTGGGAAGATTTGTTTGGTTGAGAATGTTTTGTTCTGACGAGTTGTAGTATACTTTTGGTGTGTAATGTGGATATCGTCGTTGATTGATTCATTCGACGTTGGGAAATATACTAATTAAAATTAAAATTGTCCTCTCGAGAAGTAAAGACGAGAGAAATAATTCAATCGGATTATTCGGTCCTTTCGATCCTCTGTCCTCTGTCTTTAATTGATTCACTCGGCTGGGCGAATCCATCTTCTTCACACTCTTCAATTCTCCACGATATTCGATTTTTATTTGGCGCCTTGTCCACACACAATCAAAGCATTTGGACGCACTCGAATATCCATAGGAGCGACTACAATATTGTGAAGATACGACTGGAAGGACTTTTGTTGAAAGGAGGCGGTCTGAAGGATTTTTGTTTATTTGGGGTTGCTGAAGTGAATTCGAATTATTTTGACTCATTTGAATCACGCTCGCTGTCGAATTTTGCAAGACCTTGTTGGATACATCACAAGATCGTGTCGTCGAAATCTTTGCTGGATTTATCCTCTCTATATACGAGTCCACCAGAATATCCTATCACTGGTGCTGTTTAATTGGTAGTCTATACTGCTCTTAATTCTTCGCGGCGACGCGCTCTCTCTCATCACGCAACCAATACTATATCGAGCCGATTCACAATCCGGCCATTGGTTCTATCGCCAGCCTTCTTCATCGAGAGCCTCTGTTTTTGCCTCTTGATCTTTTGTACAAAATTTCACATCCACTTCCACGCAATTCCACATTCACCACTCATCACAATGGCATCCTCAGAGGTCGACACAAAGTTCCTTGGCCAATTTGCCAAAAACATTCAATTGGACCACCCACTGCTGGCTCAAAATCTGTTTCAGATTTTGGGAAATCTCACCATGCTCTCAAAAATGGTTGTGAAAGCGCGAAAACTCAGACGACTCGACACAACCCGTGATACGAAGTCCGTCGAACTATACACTCGAATTATCTGGTATGCGAAAGAAGGTTTGAAAATTCTAGAACAATACGTTCTACCGCTAGTGGCAGGTTTCGGAGAGTTAAAAGTCCTCGTTTACAAACTGAGAGCGAGTTATTATCATCTCTATGTTCTCTTCCACAATACTCCTGCGATCACTCTCAGAACTCCCAAGATCTCTACTCCACCTGGTTTGACATCTCCACGCTACAAAGAAAAAGGAAAAGGGATCGACAATACCCCACCGCCAGACCCACATCGTCCATCCAGCATCCAACTTACCCACGCTCTCGAAGGTGGACCCGTCGGCGGACCACCCGTCTCTTTCTCCAGTGCCAGACATCACAGGAAGTTTTCTCATCCCCGCTCACGATTACCGTCCCTTCGCAACCCAATGTTTCGAAGACGCATCCATCCTTGCTGATCGCCAACTATGGGGTTCTCACCCTCTGCGCCTCTCTGTCAAAGTCGAATACACAGCATTTATATATGATTGTCTGGATGAAGCGAATCGGTCGAGAGAACTGGCCCGGAAGACGATTAGCGAAGTCTATAATGCGGACGAGGGAATGGACGATGATATGTTTGAAGATGCGGCAGAATTAGTGAGTATTCTGGGGAAGATGATGAAGAGGGGTTTGAGCACAGGCACGAGCGCGGGAACTAGTACAGTGGGGGCCAGTGGAAGTGATGAAGGTACTGTGAGGGGAAGGGGAGGGGAATCGGAGAGAACACCGAGATTACACGGGGATACATTACCGCCGATGCATAACCCGATATGAGATAGTTCGGACCGATGACGAGACGGGACTTTTGGACCGTACTGTACCGTCACCATCCAAGATTTTACTTCTTCCCTCACCACGCAAAGATTCACGAATGATACCCACCCCCCGATTCGAAATATACCAGATCCGATATCCCACTCCCATAACTTCGAAACCGAAACAAACACCCAATCAAACCGAACCAAACCAATCAAAAGAAGAAGAAACACAACCACACAACAAAAATATAACCCGGAGGAAAAAGATCCGTCTGTAGCTTTGTTTGATTAAGCTACTGCAAAGATTCTGCGCACGTATCCATATGTATGATAATGATGATGATGAGAGAGAGAGTGATGGATATGGTATTTGATACGAAAGGAGAAGAAGTACGTGTACGATTGATTGTTTATTTGTTGGATTGATGGATTGATTGAATATTGAATAATTGAATGATTGAATCATTATATACCCATGAATACGAGTGATGCGACGGGCATTGTATGCGGTATTTGAGTGAACGAGATAGATGATAGGTGGTTGAGTTGGGTTGGAGGTTGGAATTAGGGTTGGAATTGGGGTTGCTAATATAATTATGATGATGATGATGATTTTGAAATGAGCGATGAGCGATGAGCGATGAGTTGGTGAATGTGTCCGATTTGATTTGATTTGATTTGATCTGGGCTGGGCTGGGTGAATTGATTTGATTTACTAGTATGAGAGGGAGAGAAACGAGGATAGGTAGTGTATGAATTGAATATCTATCTAAGTAGGTACCTATTCAATTTATGAAGTTTTGGTGTGCGGATATAGATAAGGATAGGTATGTATGTATTATATTATATCATATCATATCATATCATAACATATCTCACTCACGATTAATGAAACGATACAGTTTTCAAATCCCTATACATACATATAAAAGCTCTTCAATATACCCATCATAAGTACAATATGAATTGTTTCATTCATTCACTCCTCCTTACATCCATCTATTTCCTCATTTCTCCTCACATCCATCCAATCCCCACTCCTCCTTCCCTCTCCATAACCCTCCATCTCACAATTTCGATCCTCCCCCCGGTCTCTCCAATCCCGCTTTCTCAAGTCCATTCTTCATCTTCAATTGGTAATTCTTGACGAGTTGTCGGATGGACAGATCGAGCATGACATCTTCGCTGCCGCCGGGGATGCGGGCGCCGGGGATTTCGCGGAAGATTCCTGGGGAGGGGTGGGGGTGTTAGTTTTGGGGTATTTGGGGAAGTTTGGTTTGGAGAAGGGGGGATTGTGATTGGGATTGCAGATCAAGGAAAAATGAAGGCAACAAGAAACAAAAACAAAGAAAAAGAATAACAAACGTTCCACCACCTCCCCCATCCCACTCTTCGTATACCCATTCCCCCCGAAAAGCAACACCGCAGTCGACGCACAACTCTCCAACACCATGCCCGCCCTTGCCTTCGCCAACGCCGTCAAGCCACCCAACTCCCGATCCGCATCCTCCCCTTGCAACTGCGTCATCATCCACGTGAACCCTTCGATCCAAGCCCAATGACTCTCGAGCTGCGCACCACACCGCGCCAAGCGATTCCGCACCACCGGCTGCTCCATCAGCGGTTTCCCAAACGCCTGCCGCTGCAGCACGTATGCAAACGCGTGATGCAGCGCCGTGCGCGCAATCCGATTCACGGAAATCGAGATGCTCAGCCGCTCGTGGTTGAAATTCTGCATCATGTATTTCATGCCCGCTCCTTCGTTTCCGATCAGATTCTCCCGCGGCACCCGCACGTTGTCCAGCTCGATAAATGTCGTCCCTGCGGCCGTCTGTCCGCCCACTTTGATCCGACGCATCGTCACCCCCGGATACTGTAGTAGCGGGACAACCAGAAGCGAGAGACCTCCTGGACCCGGCCCACCCGTCCTCACAGCCATGGTAGCGTAATCAGACCAGAGACCATTCGTGATCCATTTTTTAGTCCCGTCAATGATCCATTCCGCTCCATCATCGCTTTTCCGCGCGGTGGTTTCAATAGCGCTGACGTCGCTTCCGGCGCCGGGTTCCGTAATCGCGATACAGATTCTTTTTTTCCCGGTGAGGAGATCGGGGAGGAAACGGGCTTGCAGGGCGTGCGAACCGAATTTTAAGATGGGGGGAACCCCGAAGGCGAACCCGGTGGTTATGGCGCCGGAGGGCCCGAGAGACCCAGAACGATGCATTTCATCCGTGAATATTAGGGTGTGCATGTAGTCGAATTCTTCGACGGGGAGATCGCCGGGGAGATGCGTGATGCCGATTTCTTTGAGCCATTTTACAGGGAGAGGAGAGGGAAGATTGGGGATGAGGAAGTTGGCGCTGGCGAACTTTTGGTAGAGATTGACTGGATGTGTTGGTTAGTCTTGTTTTTTTACTGAAAGTATATATTTGGTATGTAGAATTGGAGATTAGATCAAGGGGCAGTATGTACCGGGTACATCTCCCTCTTTTTCCCAATCACCTGCTTCACCCAGTAATTCGGAAACAAGCGCTTGACATGTTTTTTGCCATTTGCGGTGTGAAGCATTGTAATAAGGAGATGGTAAACCCATGAGCCAAGGAGGTTCAGAGAAGGGAATTGGAACTGAGGAAGACATTTCTTTTGAGACAATTTCAACAAAGCGTGATCTGAGTATTCTAAGATGTTGTTATTACAAAACTATAAAAATATATGGAGGCTATGTGGAATAATTGAGAAGTCCTAATAAGTAGGTAGGTATATATTGAAAAGTATGGGGAATTAGAGTAATGCGGGGTGGAGGCGGGTGTTTGCCGCATGAACCGAGGCTTTCATGGGTAAGGAAGGGTTGAATAATTGTTGATCTAGACTCACGTGAAATTATATATAGACAGAGATTCTCTATTCTGATATTAATGTTTAAAAGTTTGTGAAGAGAAAAAATTTCATACAGATAATGGAAGAAGCTAATTCTGGCAGAAACTCATACTCTCATATGAGTAAAAGGCTACCCACGATCCAGTTATCTAGCTTCCTATCAAAATAGCGGTCGCGAAAGGGCAGCCAAAAGATGTTTCAGTGACAGGATGCTTATGGTGCAAATACATGTAAAACAATGCATGAGATTTTCCTTGCCGAAGTTTTGACAATTAATTTTATTGTATTTGCTGACATAACTGAAGATCTTGAGAGCATCCTACCAGCCAGTGGAGAGTCCTTTGCATTTGTTCAAACTTGATGGAGAGATTCCGTAAGCGAAACTTCCGTCTATCTCTACTGATGTCAAGACCAAATTGACATTATATCTCGAGAAAGATGCAATTACCGTATGTAACTCCCTAGTGCTTTAAGAACCACCTATTACATATAGTAATGTTTGAAATATACCCCTAATTCAATTCCTTCTTCCTTGCATGCCCTGATCAAATCAAATTTGCACGGACGATATTGTGAAGGATGCATACCGAGCCACGTCAAGCTGATGTACTTGAGATCAGGAGCATATCTTTCCTTCTGTCTGACTAATGCCGCAACTGCCGCAAATGACATGTTATCAAAAGAGTAACAGTCTTTCAATGTGAGATTTTGGAGACTTCGAGGGATGCGCTGTAAAAAGGCTCTTGTGTGATAAGCGTCAGTATCGTCACCACTGTCCGTCTTTGCAGATGTGTTTTTGTTTATTGAGTCATCAAGAATAACTCCAGCACTCACAACAATCTCCTTTAACTTTGGGAAGTCTGCAAATGAGCCGGGTCGACCGAAGGATCCAGTCTCAACCAAATGGGGGCGTATGTATTCACTTGCCACTCCGGCTTCAATGAATTCGAGTGTCTCCTTACTGGCCATCAAACCTTCAATCATCTCCGTGGAACAAAACGGAACCCTGATGCTGGAGTGCTCTAACGCAAATCTGCGAAGTGATGGACAGGCGCTCAGGAGTCTTCTCAAATTTTCAGGGTGGAGCACACTACGCTCAAATTGCAGGTCCTGGACCCGAGAAGTAAATGTTTCAGGAATGCTGAAGGGAACTTCCGGGGAAAGATCATTGGCATCTTGAACGACGAACTTCTTGAGTGATGGCAGTTCAAGACGATGTACAATTTTTGAAAGTGGTACATCATCATGTGAAATGTTCTTTATTGACATGGATGTCAATTTAGACATGGAATATGGCGAGATTTCATGTTCCGATGCTCTCTGCTTTGTCTGAAGTGCTACTGCGTGTGCAAACATAGGGGCGAAGAACTCTGCAGTAGGGTCAATGGTACCTGCATTTCCACGACGCTTAAAATTTCCCTGGGACATATGAATCTCCTTCAGATTGGGGAGAAGACAGACAATGAATGCAAAAATACCGTCACTACTCGGTGCCCTGCTATTCCCCAATCCAAGGATAGCTTTGTACCAGAGTTCTGCTTGTTTTTCGCTGGCGCTGGCCTCGATGACCTTGATCCGAATGAGATTAGATAAGGCGTTAGCGGGATCGGATCTATGACCTAGGTTGTTATAGAAGAGTCTCCAGATCGATGAGAGTTGTGCAGGAAGCAACCGCACGCACTGAAAGGTTTTTGGGAATTTCGCAAGATCAGGGCGATTGACTATAGTGCGAAGGAAGAGGTAGTGGCGAGGATCTTTTGGACAAATTAAATCAATCTTGTAATAGAAGGTGATTGTAGAATACAAATAAGGCGTAGCAACTGTGTTGAGCAGATGGCAAGTCTTGCAGAGCTCGCGTGCATCACTAAACTCACAGAATTCAATGATCGCATTGAGAAGTTCGTTGGAGAGAGCGAAAAGTGGCATCCTGAAATGTTGCTTGATTATTCGAAGTTATCTTGGAGATTTCACAGTAGCTGAAATGTTGTCAAACTGTCTCATAAAAGATCTGAGATTTGATGTTGTGGGATGTAGAGAGTGTTAAATGGATAAAAAAGGAAGCCTGGTACGGGCCCAGTTTCCAAATCACTAGGCGAACGTATGGCATCCGGTCGATCAGCACTACCATAACCGTACAATAATCGTTTTGGAGGTGAATGAACAGAAATGAAGACGAATTCATCAAACTTGCAAGATTTGATACGGCTCTGTCCATAGATGGCTTACCAATCATCATTCCAGGCTATTCAAATTTTTGTATTTCGACATCAGATCTATATTGAATGGTTTAGTAGTCAAGCTTTGTAGCTGGGGAGGAGGATTTCTAAAGGGTAGAGTACTTACGAAGACCATAAAACCCAAAATATTGAACCCTGATAAAGGTGAGCTGCATCGCAAATTATCAAAATAGCCTCATCTCAGAATCAAAAACAAAAGAACGTTTATTTATAGGCTCTCCACGACTAACTACTTTCTCCATTCTCCGTGATATCTCCCGATTCATCCATACCCTTCGTTTCTTCCGGGCATTTCATCGTAACTCTCCACGCCGCAATTCCCCTCCTCCCAATTACCCTCGTGATCGTACTCCAGAACCCATCATCCCCAAAATCCATATCATCCAGATTGAGATGCTTTTTGTATGTGAAAATCTCCTCAAAGTACAGATCTGTCTGATTTGCCGTATATTTATCTAGGAAAGTGGCAGATGTGGGTGCGATAAGATAGGTAGCTTCTGTAAGCTCTTCTCCGGATTTGGGAAGACAAGTTGCTAGTTTGCTGACCTCTTCTATCATGAGCTCTCCTCTGATGCCCATGAGATCATGAGTGTCGAGCACTTCATTTTTGCCGTTCAGTAGCCAAATGGGTGGACTATAAGTTTTCCACCAAAAAGCGTGAGTGGCGTCTAATTGTTTGCTCAAGAAGACTTGAGTTGGGACAACTCCTCCCTGATGGTATACACCCATCGAAAGACCCAGTAAAACATTAAAGGAAATCCACAACCCAACCCAGATACGCAAAGAAATTCCTGATTTGGGTAATCTTACAGATGACAATATTAAAGGAATGGCTGGAAGCAAGAATCGTGCCTCCTGGTGTTTGAAAAATGAAAGAACAACTACACCCGAGATAGCAGAGCAAAGTCGAAGAGGAGCCACAGGTCGTAAGAAGAGAAGTATTGTGGCAGGTCCCAATAATTGTGGGAGATTTATTAGACTATGTTGATACCATGGATGTAGGCCGTGAAGCGCAAGATTTTCCGGTGCGAGATTATACTTTAAATTATTAAATGGTGTAATTGTTGGATGGGAGAAAAGATAGGACCAAGTGACCGGGACTTTGGCGTAGAAGTTCGTATCCAAAGAGATTGCAATAAATGTAGCCAGGAGACCGAAGAGGATCATCGAAACGAGCGAAAAAGGCCTAATCAAAATCAGCTAGGGTAACACAGGTGGGTCGAAAAACTTACTTTCTCTTGAAATGTGGTAACAAACGAAGACCCGGGATGAAGAGAAAGGCGGGAAAGGTAATGCGATTAAATACCCCAAAAACCACAACGAAGGCAAGAATTCCGCATAATGATACCGAAGTATGCTTCTACGACAATCAGCTTCAAATTCCACATTTTAACACATTCTCCGCTTCCTCCTACCTTAATTGCCGTGATTTTTTGTATCAAAATCAGACTCCATGCGACTGCCAACGTTTCTATCGAGTTCGAGAATGTATGTGTTTGATATGTCCAGGTAACGTATGAAGATGCCACAAGTAAGACTGCAATTTTGTAGTGTCTTTTCGATTCAGCCAATTCCCAAATAGCCCAATCTCCAAGCACAAAACTCAAGGTCAACATCAACAGTCGCAAGGCGAAGAACACTGCTATCGGAGGAATTTCCCCATCATTTCCATTTCCTATCCAGAGCCATCGAAGGAGGAGCATCGGCAGACCATATATAGGCCATAATGGGAAGACACTTCGAATCGGATTTTCGGACGTAAATTCCCAGGTTAACTTGACAGGATAGCTGAAGATTTGACCTGCGGGTTGTTAGCAGAGATGCTTTGTAGATTGGATTTCATGCAAGGAGCCCCCCTTTACAGATGTGCCGACTGAATATATCTGCCGGAGCTAAGGGGAAGCTACATTACGAAATAATATGAAACTTACCAGCTATAACCTCTGGACCTTGAAAGTTCTCATCGGGATGTAGATAACTTGGAGAGAGGGCAAACCAAACTCGCAAAAGAAGAAGAAACAAGTATGCACGCCCGAAGAAAGGCATTTCTGATATTTACCTAGGGCATACGTTTGAAGAATGAGAATGTGAAGAAAAGTTGGGTTAGATTAAAGAAGTATTCGCAAACGCGATAAAAGGATAATAACAGAGAAAGAGGTCATTGGAAATGGGACGAGAAAACCAAAGGACACTCCAAACACTGATGGGTATGAGAAGTGTGAGAAATATGGGTTGTTGGATACTTTTTCCAACGGAAACGGCTGGAAAGTAAAGTCGCGTTACCTCTACCTTTTATTTTTTTCCACTTTCAAGGATGGCATTGGGGGTATGACGGAGATCAGCAATCTCGGAATGACAGGAGATTTGGAATGGGCTGACCAATCGTATTCATTACCGAAGATATTGCTCCTTTCATTCCGGATGCAATTTGTCGTGATGATACACGATACTGTGTACTTTTCCATTCAGCTGAGAAATCATTATATCCTCAATAATGAGTAAAAGGGGTAACGATGAGATGATGAGATGGAGATGGAGAAGATGATGTTACACGAAGACAGGTCTTAGGTACTATGTATGTAATAAGTACCTAGCATCCCTAGTCTCCGGTAGCCTCTCGTGGATATCCTATGATTATTACTAAAAGTACTAGCATCACCTGCATCAAGCTTTTCGGCTTTTGATTAACCTTTATTGAATGGGTTTCAACCAATTCGAACTCTTCACAGCTCGGAGACAATGGAGGCATAAACTCCACGTCCACCTGCATTGTTTTATATTTTGGAGATGATTTGTATTTGCATAGATCAGTAGATTGGACGTAGAATGATAGAGCGATGATTAACTCTCACTACCTACCTAGGTATCAAAAGAACAACAAATATTCGAGGAATCAGCTAGAACAAGATTATTCACTTGGCAACATAGATAGTACCTAGGTAGGTACTCTAGTCATACCTAGTAAACTCCTCGACTTCTCGAGCTTCTCTTGATGGAATCACCGACCGAGTCGAATGCTCTACATACCTTCCTTGTGTGAGCATAGCACATTATTTCTTCTCTAGCTTCCAGATCTAGTTCATCGAGTTCCTACCTGATGCATGATAGCACCACATACATCACGTGCTCTGCTCGTCATGCTGTGCGCGGAGTTGAACCAGAAACCAGACAAGGCTGAGAACCCATAGAAAAGCCACTCTTTTCTACATGTAGTACTCCGTACTTTAACTCTGACTCTGCCTCTGCCTCGTCCTCCCAATCACAAGAGGACAGTGCACATTTAGATCCAAGCTTCACCGACTCGAACAGAACAGAACATCTCAAGGCTTCCATCAGGTAGCGCTTACTTGGACTGATGATGAGGGAGGCGCTAATCCAAAATAGACGCTGCTTGCTATGGATTGACATGGTGCAATGCAAACTGTACAATGCAAAAGAGGCCAAGGGTGATTGATTGTTAGGTAGCTGTAGATGCTTTGTTATTCTTCCAAACTATGATTCCTGTCCTATGACATGGTCACCAGTGACTCAAACGTTGGTGTTTAGGCAACCGATCGTCTATTCACCGTATAGAAGGCTACTACAGCTACTACAGCTACTTCCCTAGCCTTCCCTAGCCTTCCCTAGCCTTCCCTCGCATTCCATTTGTGCCAATTAAACATGTCAATTAATCATGTCAATTTTTTCATGTACCGTAGTTACAATTCACTTTCGAGACTCTGATACTGTTATGCTGTGATTGATGACTTTTGATTGACTTTGGGAGACCAACGCAAAAAGACACTAGCACGTACTAAAATACTTAATACATGCCTAGTAGTAATACGCTTTTTGAGCCAGGATTTTTGCAGGCTAAGCGACTACAAGGCCTGACATAAAGGCGCCTTCAATTCCCATTCACATCCTCCTTCTCATTAACACATACATCCAACAACTTAACAAACAGCTCTACACAACTCAACTCTACAATCTCACCAACACACAATAAACCCTCATAACCACCACCTTAACACAGATAAAATAATATCGTCTTTCAAAATGTCTGAAGGTACCGCCACTACCATCAAGCTCGTCAGCAACGACAATGTTGAAGTCACTGTTGGTAAGTTACCCCGCCTACTATCCAACCCAAACTCAACCCGCAGACCGAGTTCAACAATGAATGCTAACTTTTATCAATAGAGAGATCTGTTGCTGAGCGCTCCATGTTGATCAAGAACATGTTGGATGATCTTGGAGATGGTGTTCTCGAGACTCCTGTCCCAATCCCTAACGTAAGTTTCTCTGACATCATTTCACCTTTATTCTCATTGAACCTTAAACTGATAATTCTTTCTCTTTACAGGTCAATGAAGCTGTTCTCCGCAAGGTCATCGAGTGGGCTGACCACCACAAGCACGACCCTGCCCCAACTGCCGATGACGATTCTGATAGTCGCAAGAAGACTACTGATATTGAGGAATGGGACCAAAAGTTTATGCAAGTCGATCAAGAGATGTTGTTCGAGATCATCCTTGTAAGTCATATTCTTTGAAACAAAGATACTTGATCATTACTAACAATTTACCATCAGGCTGCCAACTACCTTGACATCAAGGCTCTTCTCGACGTCGGATGCAAGACTGTCGCAAACATGATCAAGGGAAAGTCTCCAGAGGAAATCCGAAAGACATTCAACATCACCAATGACTTCACTCCTGAGGAAGAGGAGCAAATCCGCCGCGAGAACGAGTGGGCTGAGGATCGTTAAGCATATATCTTAACAAAATAATTACCACGAATTACCGTATGATACCATCACGAATTGGGGGTTGTTCATAAATGTGGGGTGATGGTTAGCTTCAGTAGCATGGGAGGAGTTCTCTGATTGTTTCTGATTACCAACCGAAAGTCCAGGTTCATACACTTTCATGGCGTGGGGGGTCTATTTCCTAGTTTTTTCCATTAGGGTTTACAGTGTGTATGTACACACATCGGGTGGGCGTTTTATGAGGATACTGAAGTGTAGACGGAGGATGTCAATAAAGGATATTACATAGACAGTCCACACTCAACCATACAGGTATCGCACAATTGCACTGGTTTTCAATATTACATTATGTCTTCTTTCATCATGTGAATTTGTGATATTGTGGATACAAGCTGATGGAGGTAATGTTTCTTTCCAAGCTTCTTCAAAATGTAAGTTGCTCCCTTTAAGGAGAAGTTCTAAATTATTCTTTCTGCTATAGATATTACAATTCCACTTCTTATTCTTCCCATTCGCATTCGCATCCTTGATCTCAATCTCATTCTCATTCTCATAAACATCAAACATCAAGTTTTAAACCAAATCATTACAACTCTCTTTACTCTTTACCTATCTAGGTGGATAGGTAGATGTTCTCTCTCTCTCTCATATATATAGTCTCTTTCTCTTTCTCTTTCTTTCTCTCATACAAATATATATACAAACACATATACATATACACATACACATACACATACACATACACACACATATATATACACACATATATATACACACACATATATATACACACACATATATATACATATACATACATATATACAAACACATATATATATATACATACATGCAAACACACATCTTAATTATCTCTCCTTCTCTAAATACAAGGGTTGCTTGTGATTTATAAGCTTGATGTGATGTGATGTAATATTATTTGGTTTGGGTTGGTTTTGATTTGATTTGGTGAGGGGGGAGGAGGGAAGGGGAAGGAAAGAGGGGAAGGGTTCAGATTTGTGTGTGTGTGTGTGTGTGTGTGTGTGTGTGTGTGTGTGTGTGTGTGTGTGTGTGTATGTAATGTATGGATATAACAATATATAGCAATAGTTGATATAAATAAAGTATAATACAGTAAGTAAATCACAGGATACATATATGAAAAATTCCAGAAGGATATCTTTTCCTATTCACCTAGATACCTCCATCTATCCCCCTCCAGCTATCATGAATTTGGAATTCTACATACAAGTTTGTATACCTAGGACATTATATTTTATTATTAATTGATTTAATTTATTAATTTTATTTTATTTTATTTTGAACTTCATGTTTTCCCTGCGATGAGAGATAATTAATAATCTAAGTATATATAATGAATATAACTAGATAAATAAATATTATAAAGAAAGAAAGCAAGAAAGAACTTTTTATTGATTTCTCTTCTCTCTCATCTCTCTCGATTTCAATGTTAACTACTAAGGTACACTTACCGTTCATTCCTCTCCATCCCTCTCTTCTTCTTCTTCAATAATTGTTCTCTCTTTCCCCATCTCTTAATTTCTCCCCAAAATCTCTTATAATCATCCTCTTCTTACCTAATATTTCCTCTTATTTCTCCCATCCCACAGATCACGAGTAACATTCCAGATCTCCCTCTCTTATATCCCATCAAACCCATCAACTCTACATCTCCAGACCAACACAGTCTACTTCAATATAACATAATAACACCTCCACTAATTCTCAGTTCTCACTCTCATCACCACATCCACAACCTCTCTCTCTCCATCTCCATCTGCATCTTTTCTCTGCCATCTCTATTTCCAGTTTTTGTGAAAACTAACTTACCTATCTTCCTACACTCATATACTATACAACATGCAAAATACAGCAAATTACCCCATACCAACCAGATAATCATTCTCATTCCCATTCTCACCCTCATCCCTACTCAATAGAAAAATACCTAGAAATTCCACTCCCCATATACATACATACATACATACATACATACATACATACATATAAATACTCATTCGCTTCTAACCAAACCAGGACATAATACCTCACGATCCCACTAGTTAAATGTATATACCTAAATGCAACTTTACATATATGTGAATACACTAGTTGAACATATATATTTACATACATACATATATCTGTATTTGTGACTTCACAATCAATCTGACCATAAACATCACATCAACATCACATCATATCATACCATGACACAACCTGTACGATAGAATTAAACGAATATAAAGAGCTGAAGTGTATCTAGAGGGGAACATGAAACAAAAGGGGGAATGGATGTTGGAAGAGATGAATAGTAAGTGGGGTATATGTGCATGGAGGTGGAGGTGGAGAAAACTGGATTCGAAATTCCAGATTAGGAGAGATAGAGGGGAACATGAATTAATATGATGATGCTGGGAGGAAATGGTTAAGAATAAGTGGGAAGAGAAAGGGAAGGGTGGGAACAGTTGCTGTAAAAAGAGTGATTGTAAATGAACTAAAGGTAAATCTCAGATGTGGGGAAGATCAAGGGACCAAAGGGAAGGAGGATCCCTTGTAGTTCGTAGATGCAGGCTGATCTGATTATGCTCTGCAAACTGATCGAGGATACTGAAAAACATTGCCGAAGCTGGATATCCATTCAAGTTCCATGTCCTGCTAGAAACCTTTCTAGGCGTTTCAATCCATATCCCATGGAGACTCAAGATGAGCGTAATCACACCCATTCACAATCACAAAGCGAAATCCACTCGAAACTCCAATAATATAACATGGAGAAATCAACAAAACATCCCATTTCCTCACTGAGTCACTTTGCTATAAACACAATGATCCTCTCTCAATCGCGATATATGCCATTCATTGAACCGGCCTAGCAATCAGAAATGTTACGCCTCCCTTTTCCCAAAGCAACATCCATCAGTTGTACCCTCCTGCCAAACCGAGCAAAAATTATCATTTCATTTCTCCATGCTCCTCCCTCATAAAAATTGCCATTCGTGTCTGAGTATCGTGCGAATTCGGGATAAGTAGCGTAAGGTTTGGTGGATGGGCGAGAAGCGGAAAAAAGAGAAAATCGTATGAGCGTGGGTAGAGGTTGAGGAGAAGATGGAATGTTTTGCTGTTGAAAGGTAATGCATCTAAAGACCGATACGAGTCTTTCTCCAGTGACGTCTCTTTGCGTTGTATCTATTGGATTTAATTAGTCAAAAGCTCGATCGGAGTTGCTGATATTCGATAATGATTCATCTCGACTTTGTAAAGTCGAAAGTGGAATCGAAGAGGTAATATTGTAATTTTTGTGCTGTTGCCCTGGGGCATTCCAAATCTTGAACATACCGGATGGTGTTACCAGTCCTCAAACGGATCCATTGTGGGATGGGTCTGTTTTGCTTTTGGGCTCTCGCAAGCTTCTGCTTGGTGCGGAATGACTTTTGGGACTGTAGAAAAGTATCGAATTAGCATCTATATGATTTGTCGTATTGTTCTTTTGTTGGTATTCGAGATCGTGAATTCCATCTTTTAATGTCGCGCCCATAAATCCTTCTATAATCTCGAATCCATTCCAATTTCCCCGGCCAAGCGATTGAACGTATGCGTCATTTAAAAAAGGTAGTACATACCGGCATCTTGAAAAGTCGGCGTCGATATTGTCGTTGTCGTGCTGGTTCAAAAGTCCGATGATAGAGGTTCAATGCATTCACACACCAAAAAATTCTGACGAGGGCTTTATTTCTCGGTTGCCCTTTCGATCGGCCTTCAGGCTCTCAGGCTCAAGTCTTGAGTCGATGCACGTGAGCGGCTTGGAAAAATAAAGTTATGACTAATCATGATCGGAAACCTCTGGCTCCGCGATTAGGATTGGAAATACGGTAAGGCGCTGCATCAAAGCAACATTTGAACAGTTGACCTCGCTGGTAAAACATAGATCACTTGAGTAGAAAGTCCTACCTTTTGACACTACAAGACACCCCAATTCTCGCGAACGATTACAACATCACGACGATTTACGAATTCTACAAATTTGGTGATTATTGAGCATACGATTGGGACAAAGAAAGGAAGATTCCAGGAAGACAAGGATAGGGGACAGCTAAGCATAGTTGTTTAGGAGGTCGACTTTAAGAGGAACAGAAAGAGAACAGGAAATACCATCACAAAACTTCCAAAAATGGGCGCAAGTGTTTCGTGGCTGTCGGGGATGCTATTTTCGAAGAAAGAGATCCGGATATTGATTTTGGGATTGGTAAGTAGCAGGCTGAAGGCCTCTTGGGGCATTCGAGGACTAGCAGAGGAGAAGGGGAGGCTAATATATCTGCGAATTGGTTAGGATAACGCTGGAAAGACTACATTACTATATAGGTTGAAGGTTAGTGGCTCTAGACCTTGGCACTACAGGAGGGGCTTTGTGCTAACGGGAAACCGCAGATTGGGGAAGTGGTAACTACAATACCGACTATTGGTTTCAATGTGGAATCAGTAACGTACAAGAATCTAAATTTCAATGTTTGGGTAAGATTATATTTCCTCTCTTCATTCTTCTCAAGTCTGCCATTTAACAATTCCTAACTGACTTGCTTGTTACAGGATCTGGGAGGACAGACGTCAATTAGACCCTATTGGCGCTGCTACTACGCTAATACGGCTGCGGTAATATTCGTTATCGATTCTACAGACATTGATCGATTAGGCACTGCATCAGAAGAATTGGCAGCAATGTTGAATGAGGACGAGTTGAAAGATGCTGCGCTACTAGTATTTGCGAATAAACAAGATCAACCGGGAGCGAAAGGTGCTGGTGAGATTTCCGAGGCTTTAAGACTAGGAGAGTTAAGGGATAGGAATTGGAGTATAGTGGCATGTAGTGCCGTAGATGGTAGTGGTGTGGATGAGGGGATGGACTGGCTCGTTGTAAGTGTTCCAATGCTTGAAAGTGGCTTATGCACTTAAGAAACCGCGATACTAACATGCCAATAGCAAACTGTACAACAAGAGTCGTAATAGAGGAAGAAGGTGCAGAAAAACGACCGTGTGTACTATGATCACGATACAATACCTAAAACATCAGTTGAATAATTGACTGGAAGGATCAAACTGGAGTCTGGGGTACAAATCTCAAGCTCCATGTTTTTGCTACACTCATGAATATGAACAAGACCATCATTCTCGGAGGTGTAATAGATGCATAGGCGTCTTTGAGCATCTACATCTGGGCCGGGAGCACTGTATTTGAATCTTTATCTGTAATTGAGCATCTTAGATTGATGAATTAGTGATGAATTCATATTGACACTGAAGACATTGAACTGGCCAAAGGTTTGACGTAGCTACCTCCGAGTCTGAAAGCTACGCGAAAATCGAGCTCCTAATCGTCTTTTCGCCAGCCGGTTACGTAGGACTGTCTGTACCTCTGCTTTGTGATACAAATCGAGTCTAGATCTTGAGATTTGTCACGACTCATTAGCAAGCCATCGATAGACTAATATGGACTCTGGAGGCGAGGCCACGAAAGGTCTCGTGGATCTTGTCGATATAGGCATGGCATAATGGCACATGGATCATTCGAAATGGGAACTTGAGTCTTGCTGTCACATTGGATATGTTTGTAGATGGATCCCTGTGGACAAGGTAAGGAAGGTCTCTTGGAGTTCTTAGCTAGCAGATTACTTGGGAAGATTACAATTTCGAGGAGTGGACGAATTCCCATGCCTAGATTATGAATTCCCATGTATGAACGCTAGATACCTAGGTATCTAGTAGGCTAGATAGATAAAGCATTTGTGAAAGAAAGAAAATCTTGAAAATGTGAGAGCGTCCACGGGTACCCGACACGGGTGTGAATGAATGTGGCTATGTACTGGCAAGCTAGCCACAACTTAAAGTTACTGGTACAACCCGTGGACCTGCGTGATAGATACCGAGATTCGGGATTTGATGATGTGATATTAGAGGAAGTGTGTTTTTGGTACTTTGGCTTGGATATCGTAGGTACGTACTAGGTGATAAGTCGGTATCCACTGTAGTCTGATGGCTGGGAAAACCTTGGAATTTATGTTTGGTGGAATTGGGGACTTTCCGAAGTTGGTAGATGTTGTAGGATGGGTTTTGTTTTTGTGATGGGATGGGATGGGATGGATCGATTACGACATATCTTTGAGATACTCGAGTACTGCGATACCGTTGTACGATAATACCGCCGCTACTAGGTAGGTCTAACGTGTGATATGCAGCGGCGGATTTCACCTCTCGTTTGGTGAAAGAAAGTTCCCAAGTCATTTTCCTACCTAATACCTATGCCGGGCGTTCCTTTTCCGAAGCTCCTTCTGGAAAGATGATCCCGATGTGGTAAAAAGTTACCAGCAACCATGATACATGTTGTAATGTAATGTAATACCCATTATCATGATACATACGAGTATCCGAGGTCATTTTCACAGAGTATATATAGATACAGTAACATTCTCGCTGGATGACACTGTGATGTATTGTATGTAATGCCCTGCTCACGATTCGTCGTCGGGGATACTGATGCTCGGCATGAGAGCCATGTGCATCGCGATGTGGGTTTTTGCTTGCCACAGTGCCCCACCTTGGCTCGATGCTTTGTGAATCGTGACATCGATGTGCGCATTGGAGCTGGGATTGTGGAGTCGTGAGCGGAGCAGGGGGTTGTTGAGAAATTGGAAGGTGGGGAGGTGACGGCATGGAAATTTGATGTGGTCGGTCGGGTAAGATTTTGGGTGCCCAGGAAGAAGGGAGATGGGAAAGTTGGAAACGAGTAACTACCTCGCCACCTAGCATTCAACAAAAAAGAAGATGCAAAATACATGTGGGAGGTGGGAAAGTGAGGATATACTTAGATATCGTCGTCGCACGTACTTACTTTTGATATGATACTAAAGAAAGAGGGGTCAAAACTAGTGAATGGATGGTAGGTACTACTACATCACTAGACACTTTTGAAACTACCTAGACAGAAACTCGTCCCTTGCCAAGCTTCTACAAGAACTATCTATAACTACTAGAACCGATCAGGAAAATGACGCTATGTATGTATGGTATGGTCATTAATTAATTACCTACCTAGTCCTTTCAAAATGCGGAGAAGAAAGCACTAAATTAGAGTTCGACGAGAAGAAAGCAAAGGGCGAGGATATAACATTTTAACAAATGAGTGTGAATCTATGTGAATCTGTGTGAATCTGTGTGAATCTGTGTGAATCTGTGTGAATCTGTATGAATCTGTACGATGGAGGTACCTACGTATGTATTTCACTACCTTGTACCTAGGTATGAAGACCAGGAAGAGTTACGTCCTACCCCGAGTTATATGCAAGTATGAAATGTTTCGAGGGGGATGTTGTATGTTGTGATGTTACTAATCATGCGAATACTTCCTAAAGAAGGATTCGAAGTACTCGGTAGGTAGGTAGATGGGTAGGTAGGTACTAGGTAGGTAGGTAGGTCTCTTTGAATGGAAATATATATGTAGAGGTATGTTTGAAGAGTAGACGCTAGAAACAAAAGAGTAGCGGAAAGACTCTTCCTTCCATGTATGGATACTCGAGTAGATACAAATAACTTTAACCCAGTTTCCTAATAAGCTACCCAATCTAGATTAGTTTCCTTGATGCGGAATACCCCCCGATTATATCACCACACTCAATCCTTTCCTCTTTCTATTCAATTCCGTTCCAGACCTTGGGAGCTTTACTAATGCAAGTGCACAGTTAACAACCCCCTTCTTTTAATTGGTTGCCACGAAAGGAGGGGTACTTTTCCGAATTTTCTACTTATATATTTCCATTCCTCCATTTCTTGTGCCATCTTACTTTGGATTCTTTCAGTTCATCAAAACACAAAAGCTTTCTACCATTTCGCCATCAATCTTATCATCATCTATATCCTCAACCATCTCAACACCACTACATATACTACCTACCTGTGCAACAACATCAATACAATAGCAATCATGGTTGCTGACGATAAGCCCGCCTCTACCTTCAAGTACAATGAAGCTCCAGTCTACACTACTTCCAACGGATGTCCGGTGAGACACCCAGAGGAGTATCAAAGAGTTGGTACCAATGGTCCTCTTCTTCTTCAAGATTTCCATTTGATCGATTTGTTGGCACATTTCGATCGCGAACGTATCCCAGAGCGTGTTGTCCATGCGAAGGGTGCCGGAGCTTATGGAGGTAAGTTCTTGTCTTCTGCTTCAACCTTTCCGTCACCATCATATTAACATGTTATCTGTAGAATTCGAAGTTACACACGATATCAGTGATATCACCACCATTGATATGTTAAGCCAAGTTGGCAAGAAGACCCCTCTTGTCTCACGTTTCTCAACTGTCGGTGGTGAAAAGGGTTCTCCAGATTCGGCTCGTGACCCAAGAGGTTTCTCCGTCAAATTCTATACCGAAGAGGGTAACTGGGATTGGGTTTACAACAACACCCCTGTTTTCTTCCTCCGAGACCCAACCAAGTTCCCTCTCTTCATCCATACACAAAAGAGAAACCCTCAAACAAACTTGAAAGATGCTACCATGTTCTGGGATTACCTCTCAACTCATCACGAGGCTGTTCACCAGGTTATGCACTTGTTCAGTGACCGTGGTACACCATATTCCTACAGACACATGAACGGATATTCTGGTCACACCCACAAGTGGTTTAAGGCCGATGGTACCTTTAACTATGTTCAAGTCCACTTGAAGACCGATCAAGGAAGCAAGACTTTCACCAACGAGGAGGCCGGAAAGATGGCTTCTGAGACCCAAGATTGGCACACTCAAGACCTATTCGATGCAATTGAGAAGGGAGATTACCCAAGCTGGAGCGTCTTCGTTCAAGTTCTTTCCCCAGAACAAGCTGAGAAATTCCGCTGGAACATCTTCGACTTGACTAAGGTTTGGCCACAGGGTGAGGTTCCATTGAGACCATTCGGCAAAATGACCCTCAACAAGAACGTTGAGAACTACTTCGCCGAAATTGAGCAAGTTGCTTTCTCACCATCTCACTTGGTTCCAGGTGTCGAGCCATCTGCCGACCCTGTCCTCCAATCTCGTCTCTTCTCATACCCAGATACTCACCGTCACCGTCTCGGTGTCAACTACCAACAAATTCCAGTCAATGCTCCCCTCCGAGCTTTCAATCCATTCCAACGTGATGGTGCTATGGCCGTCAATGGAAACTACGGCGCCAACCCCAACTACCCATCTTCTTACCGAAAGCTCACCCAAAAGCCTGTCAAGGCTACCAATGATCATGAGCAATGGTCCGGTGCTGCTTTGAGCTTTTTGTCCGAGGTTGGTCCAGAAGACTACGTTCAAGCTAAGGGTCTCTGGGATGTCCTCGGCAAGCAAGAAGGTCAACAAGATAACTTCATCGGCAATGTATCTGGACACTTGGCGGCTGCTAAGGAGGACACTCGCAAGCGTACATATGACATGTTCAGCAGAGTCGACCCAACTCTTGGTGCCAAGATTGAAGAGGCAACCGAGAAGTTGGCTCCTGCTCCTGGTAGCAAGGCTGCTGGATCTGCTCAATCTCGCTTGTAGACTATAGTTGTGTTATAGGATAAGGCAAGGTAGAGAAGATTTTCACGTTGCGTTTGCTTTTTGCGATGATATCTATAATTATTTTATGAGAGACGAAGGAATAGGGAACGGTGATAGGATAGGTTATTTTGGTGGCTTTACAAAATTGGTTTTTATTCTGCAATGACATACCCCTTTTATGATTTCAGAGTCTCTAAGTTTTTCATGCCATTTGGTGATATTCAAAGATATTTTGTGAACATTCTCATTGTCATACTCTATTTCATTCCGGCATTCGAGACAATAACCTAACCGAATCCATACAAAGGTAATGTCAACTCAACGCATTACGATTGTTCCGAACTTCCTTTTTAAAGTAAAACTTCACATCCCTCCGCGCTTGAAACCATAATTGTCAGGGTCTTTTTTTCCAATCCAGATGGATACACTGAAATGCCAGTCGGTAGACGAATATTCAGAAAGTTCTGAATAATACGAACAATGGCATATGACGCCTCCATGATCGCAAAATCTTCTATTTCAAATTATTAGTCACAACCCATGATTCTTCACCAACAGAATCATCACTCACGACCAAGACAAATCCGCGGTCCGCCATGAAACGGCATAAAACCCCATCCCACACCTTTCAATGCCGATCCCTCTCATCGCTCTGGACGGAAGATATTTGCGTCGTCGCCGTAGATTGTCTTGCTTCGATGCATGAGATAGGGTGAGAAGCCTACGCCGGTGCTGCTGGGGATCAGGAGGAGAGGTGCTGTGGGGACCGCTGCCGCGGGGGAGGAGCGTGGTTTGAAGGGCGACGCGGACGTTGTGGGGGATTTGGGTGTGGAGTCTGGAGGCTGGGTGGGGGGTGTTAGTTTTTTTTTTCTTTTTGAGAGAAGGAGGGAATGGTAGGTATGTAGTGGATTCGGGTAGGGGAATAGTTATTTTCGTTCAAGACACATTTCAGAAATGGCATTTTGGATATCTGGGCCCGCGAAAGTGGTGTATCGTTGGAAGTGAGGAGGTCTATCTCTTCACGTAGACGCTGGAGTGTGTTTGGATGGCGCACGAGGTTAAAGCTGTTTTATATCACATCATCAATCAGCCATCAACATCCTCGCCCAGAAACCCGCATTAGGGCTAGTTTGGATGTACAAATCCGCACTGGATCCGCTAAATATTCCGCTCTTTTTGAAAGCAGATTTTGAATTCATATTTGGATGTCAAATCGCGGATTCCGTTAAATAATTTGCATTTCAATGAATTTAGTATATTTTGAAATGAGGAGAAGGTGGATCACTCTAAAATGATATTAAATAATCTGCGTTTTCATTAAATTTGTATGGGAAAACAAGGGTGCGGATTAAAAACGAGGATTAGAAAAAACAATCCTTGTTTTTAATCTAACAAATAATCCGCGTTTTTATAGGTTCTTATAGGCCTTTCATCCTATATTCATATAGTATTATAATAATATTAGTACTTCAAATATCTAAATTTATAGGGTATCTTTATTTTTCTTTAAATCATCTCTGATTTCAATTTAGATTATTTTACATTTGTATTCCCTATATACTAGAATATATATAGCTTAGTTTAAAAGTAGATTCTTCAATATTCTTTTTATTATAGCTTTAGATTCTATTAATGATTTAGATTGTAAACTGCCTTTTTCTTATTCACAATAAGCAACGATGAGGTTGATGATTCTGAATAGTTTATTCCTATCTTGATTTATAATTTAGCTACTGTTATTAGCTCTTTTTATTGTATTCCAATTTCGAAAAAAAGAACTGGTATTCCTGGTGAATTTAAAACACAATCTCTTCTTGATTCTAAACACCCTCAACATTATCAAGAACAACTATATATGCCTCTATACACTTTTCGATTTTTGATTGAGTTTTGTTACGAAAAAACAAAACTACAACACTCTCAATATACTTTAATTAATCAAAAGCTATATGTATTTCTCTATATTATAGGTTAGCATGGAACTATATGTAATATAGCTGAAGCCTTTTCTTATTCTGAAGAAACAATTTATAGGTACGAAAAACACCTTATATAAATCTACTTATTGGTTTATTCTAATGTGCTTTAAGATAGTTTTATCAAGTTTTAGATATTATAATAATATTATACCCATTAATAATAAAGCTATCGAATCCAATTATATAATTCGTTTTTCCTTGAGTAGCAGAAGATGAAAAATATTGTATATATTTTGCGAATTGCTTAGAAACTCTCGATAACATTTTTATTCCAGTAACGATATTTTTCAAAGATTGATCTGCTTATTTCAATTGAAAAGAATATATTATACAAAATATTCTTGTAATAATTACTTTCAATTTACAATTCTACTATATATTAGCTAATTGAAAAGGTTTTGCGAATAATCAAAAAATACTTTTAAATATTTTGATTTCAAAAGGTTTATAAATTTTAGAAGGTTATTATTATCTAGATAATACAGAATATATAAATACTGAATAGATTCTTATTCTATTCAAAGGGGTAAGATATTATTTACAAAAGCAATTGGAATCCAATAAGATATTCAAAATATCAAAAGAGCTTTTCAATCTTCGACATTCTTCTTTACAAAATAAGATTGAGAGAATTTTTGAAGTATTCAAAATGCGCTTTCCATTTCTAATATAATAACAAAAATACCTATATACAACTCAAATACGTATAATTTATACTTTATGTATTCTATATAACTTTATTCAACAAAATAGTTTTAAAGAAGATCTATTCAAAGTTTAATTTGATTGTATTATCAATTGTATTCCAAGCACTATGGATAATATAATAATGAATTCAAGCAGTAACAAATTAAACTCTATTTCGTTACAATTTATGGATTACTTTCGATAAGGAATTATAAAGGCTATATGGAGAGATTATTGTAAAATGAAAAGAGTTCGAAAAGCATAAGAGAAAGAAAAGCAATATTGTATTGAAATAGAATTTGATAAATATATATAATTAGAATAGAAAGTAATCATCAGGGTTTCTCCATTTACTATTATCTTTTATTATAGCTTTTAGTATTTCTTTGAATTCTTTAAAGAATTGAAAAAAATCTTCTTTTTATTCTATATAATAAAATAGATTTCAAGCTCGCTTATATCTCATCCTATCTTTAGAAATCCAAAATCCATATTTTTTTGAATTATAGCTTTTATTAGAGGTCCATTATTCTTCAGGTCCAGAAAGTTTAATATCATTCTCTTTCTTTAGCTTCAAAATATTAAAGTTTCAAAAAGCAAGATTTCTCTAAACAATATATTATCAACAACTGAATATTTTATAAAAAAGTTTATTAGAATATAAATATACTCTATTAATATATTAATAATTTAATATAATAATAAGTAAAAAATAGTAAGTAAAAAATGACTAGAGAAAAATAGTTAATAAAAAAAAATCAAAATAAATCTATCCAAACGAATCTTTCATCTATAAAAAATCCAAAGATTCTTTATTAATTTTTTTGTTTAGATTCTTTAAATTAATTATAAACTACTCTATACTAGCTTTCCAAACTCTAATCCAAATCAAAATCCCAGAAAGTCCAACTGTTTAAATTTATATATTAGTATTTATAGAATTAATAAACATTACACCTTTATATTTGTTTTAATTTTTAATTAATATTCAAATCTTTCAAATCAATCTTTTCAAACTCTCTAACTTTATTATTCTCTTCTTTATTATCAGATTCCTTCTTTTCCTCTTCCTCTTTCTTATCAATATCGATTTCCCAATCCTCAAAATCTGTTTTGGAATTATCTGATTCAGACTTTAATACAGGATTATTGTTATTTTGAATAAGATTTTTTGTCTTTAATGTTTTTCTAAATAAAATTAATTAAAATGAGATTTTTATTTGAATCCATATATTAGAATTATTACATTTCGATATTTAATCGAATTTATACAACCATTTCATCTTGTTTATTTTTTAATACCTTTAAAAAATCAGAAGTTTTATAAAGTACTTTCAAAGTATAGGAAATCTAATACTTTTTCCTATCTTTTTTTTTTTCGACTTTTAATTCTTTAAATATCATTCTTGCCTTTCAATTGTATATATTTCTAGCTTTTCGCTTTTACAAATATTCTTCTTACTTTCCCTATAGCTTCTTCTTATTAGATTTAGTTACTATTAATATTTTTTTGATTTTTTGAAGCTTAAAAGAGATTCAATATTATAAATATAATGCTTATTATTATTATTATTATTGTTATTCCTAAAAGCACATTGTTTATATTATTTATAATATTTTTGTATTCGGAATAACTATATTCCATAAGAAATAAGTAGTATGATTGATTGAATTACACGATATATAATACATTAATTTACAAATATGCATTTCTAAACATTTAATTTTTCAACACTTATTCCTTTCACCCCCATTCTTGAAGCTTTTTAGATATACACTTTTTGAATATTTGAAACTTTTTCTATAATAAACTGAAATAATTCAAATCTAGACTTTGAAAACACTACATTCCAGGAAATCCTATAGTTGTAATATAAACTACAAATGTATTATATAGAGAAGCTATATCACATACTAATATCGAAAAGAAATCAATGAATAAATAAGAGTTAGGTGTAGATGGAAGATCACCTTTTTTTAAAAATAAGAATATAAAGAAAGCTTTGAAAACAAAGATTCAAAGTATAAGAAAGTAGCCTAAAAAAGGAAAAGCAAAAGTTGCTAAAAAAGCTTATTGATAAGAAGCGGGGAGTAAGTAAATCTTTTTTTGATTTATAAGCTTCTTTCTTATTAATTGAGTATAGCAATTGTATTACAAAAAATTAAAAAGTATCAAAAATCAATTGAATTGCTTTTGAAAAAAGCCCCTTTTCAATATTTAGTTAAAAAGGTTTCGGATCAATTTGCACTTGATAAAAAGTGTTAAAAATGGAATGCTGCTGCTCTTATAATAATTCAAGAGGTAGCTGAATTCTTTATGGTTACTTATTTTGAGAATACATTTTCTATCCTTTTTATTTATCAATTAAATAGATTATTGATTTAATTTATAATACTACAATATTGTGTATTTCATGCAAAAAGGCAAATTATTAAAGATACAGATAGCATTTTTCTTCAAAGAATAATAAAGCTGGCAACCCCTGTTATTGATAGATATTACATCTTGAAAGGCTAAACTTTACAGTTTTCTCACTAGTCGTTTCTTACTAACCGTTTCTCACCAGTTGTTTCTTATTCGTTATTTCTCATTAGCCAGCCACTATATACTTATATTCTTTATTTTATATATCTAGAACTAATAAATAGGTATCATTCGTACTTATATATTGTTAATATCAAATAAGATAAAGGTATTGAAAAATATAATATTAATATTTAATTGAATAAATATAAAGGTTATATTAATAAAAATATACAATAAAGAAAACAGAGTAAATAAAACTACCAAATCAAAAGCTATTAGAATTTGAAAGCCACTCTTCATTTAAAGTTTGTTGTAAAGGAGCGGATAATAGAGGCATTTTATTATTTTCTTTTTCGTACTGCTCTTTAAGCTCTTTATAGATCTTATTCACAAACTCTACTTGAAATGAATCTATATGTATAAACATCAACAGCTCACTATAAGATTGGCGAATACCAGGCATCGGATATTGTAGAAAATCAATAAGCTTGAAAGCAATATCAGCCCCTAGAGACTTATATTTACTAGGATAGTTTTGTGTAATCATATAGTATACTTGGTGCCAAAGGGGTAGTGGGTTATTGATTTGAGTATATAAGGTGCTAGAATGGTTTCTCGATTTATTAAAATCTTTTAAAGATTTATTAATATAAAATAAACTATCTGTAATTTCAGAAGAGATAGTTTTTCGAGGCCTTTTTGATGGTGTGTAGCTTGTAATAGATTGTTTATATCGCTCTGTTTCTAACTATAAATCAGTTAATAATAAAATATATCTCAAAAATATGAATTCCTTACTTTGTGTGTTCCAAAGCTATATTTATTCTACCTTTTAGCACTCTTATCTAAAAAAGGTATAAAGCATATTGAATCAGCAAGATTATCCTTCTTATCCAAAGAAATAATTGTTTATTACATTAAAGCTATAGAGTGATATGCAAATTTACCACTAGCTGTACAAGTTTCGAATAGAAATTAAAAAATCGATTAGCTCTCTATATAATAACTTCAATACCAATGATATTTTCGATTATTAGCTTTGCTTACTTATAGAAGCGTTTTTCATAAATAATCAAATGCATAAGACTGCATAGTATCATTCTTTTCATTAAATCTAATGCCCCAACTAGATAGGTTAAGAAGATATCGATACTTTATATAACATCCCTTAATCTAAATCAAATCAATTAGATTAAATAAACAATAAAAAAAGAGAATGTTTATACTGAATTGATTTTCTTTTTAATTTGATTACCAATTAGATTCTCATTACTATTAATATATATCTTGTGCTCTAAAGTAATAGCTTATGCAAATTGATTATAATAAAGTATTCTCTATCCAATGAATTGACCTAGTCGTTAACTAGTCTTCTGTAAATGACTTTGCATTAAATTTAAAAAAAGCTTTTCGTAGGGTTTCCATTTGAACTGATTTGTAGATTTCTTTGAAATATCTTCGGTCTCAGTTTCCGGATCCACTGATTTATCCTCTCTTTCAATAGTATCGATAAAGGGATTCTTTTTATTTTTTGAATTATTACAGATGTTATGTTTTGGGTTTTGATTGGTATTGTAGCTATTATTGATATCCCTTTCATCGTTATTGTTCTCATTGTTGTCTGTATCAATGTTTGTTGAGAGTCTTTTATCAATTTCGGAATCCTACTATATATTATAAATTAATATAATTAAAATAAACTTTATTTGAATCAAATACCTATATATAGCTTTTCTTTTTTGTAAAGAGTATCTTCTTCTGATTGAAGATAATATCGTCATTATAAAAGAAACTGGATAGTAAATCTCTAATAAAAGAAGAGGAGGAGATATCATAATCTCGAAATTGGCTTTGAGATTCGATTGCTTTTGCTATAGGTTTAGATTTTCGTTTGAAATAACGAATTGGGGGAGAGGGACTTCGAGTTCGAAATCTTCTACCTCTTTTTTGTACAAATATAAACCTTCGATTGCTATTATCGTTAATAATTTTCAACTTCCTAAACGCTTTTAAGGTGTTTTAAATAATAATTGTATTATTGACCATTGAAATAATTTTATATATAGAAAATAGCTTTAAAAATATTTCAAAAAAGGTTTTTTCTTTAAAAAGAAAAGAAAAAAGAAAGATAAAATCAAAATGTATTTCTTTTCTAATTCTAAGTACTTTTTCAAGATCATTATTCTATTAAAACTTTTTATATGGTTTTCAATTTTAAATATAGGATTTTAATATCGAATTAAAGTTTAAATTGAATATTCTAAAAAAACCACAAATTATTTAGCGGATTTAATATTCAAACTATAAAACTACAGATTAATAATCCGCTCTTTTTGAAACGGATTGATACCACCACAGAATCCGCAATAACATAAAGTGCAGATTATTTCAGTGGATTCAGTACGGATTTTACATCCAAACTAGCCCTTACAGCACCCAGCTAGAAGGTCAAATATACCCATCTACCAGTTTCTGGATGAAGTGGACAGGGACTAGAATAAAATATCGCACTCACAAAGTCCAACTCAAAAGACACGTCGTGGTATCTCTCCCCGCGAGCAAAACATGCAGAAGCTGATCCCGCACGAGCCCCACATCCCGCAACTCCTCGTACAAATCGAGGATAAAGGGATGGCGCTCCAACGCCGCATCGCCGTTTTCTTTCTTGTCAACCAGTGCTTGATGGACGAAGTGCGCGGCGTATTGCTTGATTTCGCGACAGGCGGATGTGTATTGAGGGGGCGTGTACAGCCAGCAGAGATTGGAGAGACGGAGACGCAGGGCGGAGATGAGGGAGGTGTAGGAGAAATTTTTCTCGAAGAGATCGTGTTCGGATTGGGAGAGGGGTGAAAGGGAAAGAGGAGAAGAGCTCTCGCCAAAGAGAAGAGAAATAGTGGTTGGTTTCCAGTGTGAAGCGGAAGAAAAGGGGTTGCAGATCAATCGTTCCGCTACGGGAAGAGAGAACCGCGAGGATTTTTTCGAGAGGCGCAGAGAAGATTGAGAGGTTTTGGGATTGGATGCGCGAGAATTGGCGACGGGGGATCGAGCGTGAGTGTTTCCAGGAGTGGGAGTCTCGGGTGAAGATTCCTTCGCCGATCATGGGGTAGAGTCCTGAGCGGCGGGAGCCGAGTCCGAAGTCTGAAGGGTTGGGTTAGGGGGTGGGATGCTGGGGAATATCATACGTATAATTTCGAGTGGAGGAAATAAGAAGAAAGAGAAAAGAACTCTACCATTAAATCTCGTCCCCAACATCGCTTCCAAATTCTCTGGATCCGTAGTAAAAATCCCATCTGACCCAAAAGCCTCACCTGAAACGTGGAACCCAAACCCATTTTCTCAAAATGCTCTGCTTGGAAAGAGAGCAGATGCCCGGAGAGAGGCGCATCGTATTGGCGTTTGAGGATGTCGAGACCCAGAGGCCATTTGTAGAGGAGGGTTTTCTGCGCGGGCTGGCAGTTGTGGGAGGTGCTGAATTGGGTGTTGAACTGGGATTGGGGGGAGGGGTCAGTTATTGGGGGGTTGGGGGATGGAATTAGTGGGCTCTTACTGCGTGTTGACGTTTTCGTTTGAGGTGGTTGGAATACCAGTATGAGAGGAGGATGATGAGGATGAAGAGTTTGAAGATCATGTTTGATGGGTTTTGTTAGATGTTGGGTGTGGTGTGGTGTGGTGTGGTGTGGAGAAGATGGAGAAGTTGGACACCGGAGATGGATGAGAGATGGTGTTGTGTCGTGGATATGTGATGGTCTGGGTGATGTTGCGATTCATTACGATTTACAATGTTCTTATAGATGGAATTAATATTGTGAGGGAATTTGCGTATTCATTGTTTACTATTCTCAAGACGTCTATCAAGGAATGTCAATGTCAATGTACTGATTTGTGTATTCACTGGGGCTCGTAGATGTAGGACTATATGCGATATATTATAATACGTAAATTGACCAGGAAAAAAGTAATAAACCAAATAGTCGAACTGCTTTCATCAAGAACTAACGGCATTCAAAATCATAGCTGCAGCATCCGATTTTCAGCAGGTAGAGTACCTAGGTATTCATATCTAAGTCAGAGGGAACGGAACGTGTATGTTTCATTTAACTTGAAAGATGTGTAGAGAGAAAATCCCGATATGGTATGGCGTTGTAATCTTATTATGCCATCTATGTCGTGAGATTGGGAGAGCGAATTGTAATTATGATGATGAGGAGAGATGTGATAAGTTGGAGTGAGGTGAGGTTGGCTGGATAGGGAAGGGGAAGGGAGAGAGATGTATTGGGATTATCGAACTTATTCATGTCTTCCAGTACAGAAAGATGCAATGATCTCCTTATATTGATGGGGAAATAAAGAATAGATTACTTATGTAATTGTCTTGATGGATTCGAAAGATGAGACTCTTGAACCTTTCTTAAACGAGAGATTGTTTTGCTTATTACCCGAGGACTGGATACCTAGATGTCTAGAAGTTATTAGCGAAGGGGGAAGTGGTTGGTGCATGAGTGAAAGATATATCATATCTACATTTGGTTTCGACATGTTCTGTAGGATAGAAGTAAGCTTATCTTGCGAGATTAGTTTGGGTTTGAATGGGTGATCGGTAATAGGAAGTGATCTGGGGAGGAAGAAGCATATCTATAATTTTATGTAAGCTTTGTGCTTCATACGTACGCTCCTAGACACTGTTAGACGATTCAGACAAGATCTAGGGACTCGGAGTGAAAGTTCATACTTGTTTGGTTTAAATTCAATATCGATACCTACCTACTCGAAGGCTATAGCTAGATACTTACAAAGCTTGTTTGTGCTACTATTGATTTTGTGGTTGTGATATCAATTGGCATATAAACATTTTGATAGGGGGATGAGCGAGGAGGGGACTTTAGTACCCGCTTAACTTTCTCTTATGTTAAGTCCTGTACCATAGTACGTTATCCAGAATCTAATGGAAAAGACTATTGAAACATTCGTTCGTTTCAGACTAGCGTTACGCACAACTATAGTTGGCTGTAATTTTCCCAGAGGAAGATAGTAAGCCAGGGGCTAAATCACCAACTGTTAGGACTTCTGTGATAAAATATAAAAGACTGATACAATTCCATGCCCACAATCAAATTTTGGCACACTGATGTTACGCGATTGCTATCTGCAAGGTCTCGAGTGTCACCCCTGAGGTCTATCAAGTGGCTTCGATATCGCACTACCTCCTGGTCTGTCGGCCGAGGCCTAGTGGCCACACCAAACTTCTTACAGCTGCCTTTACGCAGCGTATCAGCGTGCCAGCTTTCGGTATTTTATCCGCTTTAGGGTCGTGTCGTCATTGACGAAAACAATGGTATTCCAATTGTATATTATGAAACGAGAAACGAGGCTTTTCATACTGTGGCTGAATCAGCTTCGCCCTGCCCTTAAAGAATTTGCTAGGGTACTGTGTATGTATTCGATCACCTTCAGCCTGTCGAAAATGCCCCTGCGTTGACAATGCAAGTAGTTTATATTCAACGGCATTATTCATATGGACATAGTAATTAGCATTATCTCAATAATTCATAATCTTATTACGCATAATGTCAGAACTGGCTGCTCTTACGGAAGTCTTTTGTGGAGAGAACCCCATTGTTGAGTAAGTGTCTGGCTCTGAACTACAATATCTACAACTAGCTAAAGCGCCCTAGTATTGTCGCAGTCCATGGACTTAATGGAGACTCGGTCAAGACATGGACATCAAAGACAAACAATAAGTTCTGGTTAGGCGATGCAGATATGCTCCCCTTGGCCATGAAGCAATCTCGAATTCTGACATTCAGATATAATGCTGCCGTCACTGCGCTTTTTGGAAAAACTTCAGCGGATCGCATCCTTCATCATGCTCAGACGTTGATAGCGGAATTGGTAGCCGATCGTCAGGTATGTAGAAATTCCCACGCCGAGGATACGAAAATTCACATGTGCTGCAGATCAATGATGCCGAACACCGTCCCATTATTTTTATATGTCATTCACTGGGTGGCATCATCGTCAAAAGGGTAGGGAAGATGTGAGATTCTTCTATCAGCTCTGGCTCACAAATATTTATAGGCACTGGTGTATTCATTCAGTCGAACCAGTAAAGCGGTTGAGCACCTTCACTCTATATTTGTTTCCACCTACGGAATACTCTTTATGGGAACTCCGCATAATGGAAGCAGCCTGACGAGCTTGGCATCCATGAGCCGACGAATGATAGATGCACTTCTGCCGTCGAAAGTAGTTAGTACCGATGGGCAACTGCTAGACGCGTTGAAGGAAGGGTCCGAAACGCTCCAAAATATCACCGATATGTTCATCCCGTTGATGAAGCAATTCCGAATCTATTTCTTCTGGGAACAGCAGAAGACAGATTTTGGGACAAAGTTAGATTACGTATGTATTGAATTCTTCAATCCGCTCTATAAAAGCCTCCAGGCTGATATCGATTAGGTCGTAGAAATTTCATCTGCCGCTCCAATCCTGGACAGTATTGAGAGAGCTGGACTGCCTTATGATCATTCCAATATGTGCAAATTTGCGTCTCGATCTGCAGGTGGATATACGATTGTGGTGGCAGCATTGATGCGATATTCTAGAGATGCACCGAAGACGATATCGCGGAGATGGGATAATGCAGCGGTGATGTTTATGTCGGCGCGGAAGAACGAGGCCGCAGAGTTGTGCGGTTGAGGTAGTGGAATGGGTCGCAACGTATTTGTATTGGGATTTTTCGGCCGCGAGAGCATCCGCTGGCTTTTGGTACGGATTCTGAACTTTATGCTATTATTATCATTATCGTGCTCGTTAAAATCTTCCCGTACTTATAAATGAACATTGCATCCTTCTTTGATTGAAACCACCAATGTCATTGTCTGTTTCTCCACCCCAGTTAACTCCACTTTCTCGTTCGCAGGTAACTTTACTCCAGGATATTTTCGTAGTATTCTTACAACTGTATAAGCGGCCTCTGTAAGAGCGACAGTCCACTTGAAAAGAGTCAGCGTTGCATAAAATTGCCCCTTCATACTCGGTTATAATTCCTCTTTTTTGCATTTGTCCTTGTAATTGGGCTTTGCCTCATAATTTATTTTGCCGTATGTTATCATGTAATAAATCAGACAAGAACTTACTACCGAGACAGACTCTTGGTCCCCCATTGAATGGCAAGTATCCCCATTTCTGATTTGTTGGATTGTCGTTCATCGGCATTTGTTCATTCCATCTCTCGGGTCGATAGATTTCAGCATCCATGCCATAGAGATCTGGCCTTCTATGCATAGTATAGACACTGTAGGCAACGGCGGTCCCCTTTTTGATGAAAATCGGTGATTTCCTATCAGGTCCTCCTCCAGTTGGTAGGATTGTATCGTTCAAAGAAGTTCTCGTATTGACAGGGACAGAAGGATACAGACGAAGGGCTAAGATATATTTTAGCATTGATCGTTTGACTTTTACCAATGATAACTCACTTTCCTTGAGAACATTTTGAAGGTATTTCATATTTCGTAGCTCTGTTCTATTTAACTCCGAGCAATCTCCAAGCAACGCGACCTCTTGTTTGTAATTGGGCTAGAACTTTCGGATGGCGTACAAGGAGGGAAGCTTGTCAGTAATGTTAGCGGAACCTTTTAATAACAATACTTTAACTCACAATGTCCAAGAAAGAAGGCAGGCGGTGGTATCTCTCCCAGCAACAAGGATATTGACAATTTGTCCTCGCAGTAACTCACGATCGCCTTGCATACTCTTATCTACTGATCTCAAGAAGTCATATTTCTTATCGGTCCCAGCCTCTGAATCTAGTGAAAGATTGTGTTCGATAATTTGGTCAGCGAATTCGTGCACTTTGCTACAGGCTTGGGAGAATTTCTTCCCTCCAATAAGCCAGTAAAGATCCAAGAGCCGAAATCTCTTTACAACGTATTCTTGTGCAGCATTAAATGCGCCTGCAAAATCTTGTTCGTTTGTTGAATCTGGGGATTTGAGACTATGGACAGATTGTCCCGAACAAAAAATGCAGTGGTTGTGTCAAGTGTGAGACGAAAGAACAATGGCTGTAAATCAACGACCCCTCCTTCTTTAGGGAGAGCATCAAGCAACTCATCAACAGATTCTCTAAAGACTTCCAGATCTTCGTATTGCCTATGGACAAAATGTGGTCTAAGCAAGTCTCTGGAATGTTTCCAAGCTTCGCCGTCCTGAATAAATATTCCTTCGCCAAACATTGGGAAGGAGATAGCACGCCGCGGTCCCATTCCCCAATCTATTTCAGGCATTTCAAGTCAGTAAGATTAAGCAGATAGATGTGGGAAGGTAATGGAGAGCCAGACCCGAAAATTTTGTGGACATGATAGCTTCCAAATTGGCGGGATCCACGGTACCATAGGCCGGAGTCAACAAGAAAATTTGCTTCAGAGTATAACCGGTCTGCCTGAAGTGGAAGAGAAACAGCTCCATAAGTCTCGATTCATTATCGGCTCGAAATATCTGCTCTAGACGATCGATTCCAAGAGGTCTCTGGTTTTCGAGTAATGGAGGCGAAAGGCAACCAAGATTTTTTATAATAGCGCGTGTTTCCTATCATTATAGCCTCATTAGTATCGTTATATAACTATTTCTAGGGGACGTACCTTATTCTCTTGGATGCGACCGATTACCCATCGTAAACAATAAACTAAGATCCCAAGTATAACCGTGTTTAATACAAAAGCCATCTTGTCATATGGGATTTTTTTTGAAAGAGCGAATAAAAATCAGGCAATGAGCAAAATTCTAGTAGAAATCAAAAGCATAGATCCGAGGAAATAATTTGAAGTTCAAAAAGCTATTGAATGACCGTTATACAATATTGCGTGTTGATGTAGGAACATAACCAAAACACAAAAGCGAAACGTGACAAGACTACCAACTAAGAACACTCCAATAACGCTCATTACTAGATTTGAAAGCTGCGAGTAGAATTAAAGCCTGTTAAGGGTGTGTATTCCTTCCTCATCATAGTTCCAACCGTCAGATGTAGATAGACACTTATCTTCATTTTAATCCAACGTTGAATCTACAGAGGTACATCAGCTCTTGATAATACAGGGGGGTGATTGGAGCGTATAGTGGATCATACTCTGTATATGCCCTGCTCTGTCGGTGCGCTGCATATGGATTATCAGGCTAATATATGCAATCGGCCCAGACCTACTGAATTGGAAGAAGAAGGGTTTCATCGCAGAAATCTTTACATTTGGAAGAACCAATGGAATGTCCAAGTACCATGCCCGCGCCTGTGCCTGGCCCAGATTTAAACGCCCGTTTGGTGCACGCTCATGACCTACACGGTTAACCGTGCCGCGAGACTGACTCTTAATGTAAAATGGGAAGGGTAGAAACCGGACATCACCCCTCGATTAGCTCTCTACGGAGCATATATATCTGATCCGATTGGTGAATCATGTACGGAGATATACGCATCCATTTTCTTTACTTCTCTACCCCAGCTTCCAAGGATTAGTTTGCATGGGCAGAATGATATTATTGGCGGGAAAACGGAGGCGGTGAGTCGTAAATAGATGAAAATAGTGATGCTGATGGTTTGAATGGAATGCTAATATGAAATCGATAGTAAAGGTGGTGTGCATACAGCAAGAGGTGAGTCCATGTTCAAAATGATACGCTGTTTGCGTAGTCATGAAGTGTGATAACCGGATCAATGCCTTGCTTGGGCTTCCTACCACATTCAGCGAGATAAGGCTTTTCCTTATTCCAACGATCACTCTCATCAATACAAAACTATGATTCAGTATGAAAATTAAACTCATTGCGGAGCCAGAATCACCAAATGTCGAGTATGTTGAGCTGCTCGTTAACGTTGTGTCTTTACGCTAATTTGACATAGTTTAGTGGCTGTCCATGGTCTCTGCGAATCATCATCTGAGACTTGGATGAACCCGCAAAAGCATAAAGCTTGGCTTCGAGACCCGGTTCTATTCCCATATCACACTCTCCGAACTCGAGTCTTATCCTTCGAATATGATCCGAGCCGCTTTACAATTCCTGGAAGAGGAGGAACTATATCAAATGGCATCTTAGATCTCGCAACGAATCTCATCGCCGAGCTTGACTCGTACAGACAAGCAAATGATGGTGCGGAACATGGACATCGTCCTATCATCTTTATATGTCACGGATTTGGTGGTCTCTTGGTAAAGCGAGCTCTTGCTTTATCGTGGAGCAAAACGAAGTCTGGAGTTTCACATCTTCGAGCTATCTATATATCAACTCATGGTATCTTATTCATGGGAACTCCTCACAATGGCCTAGATGAAACTTTGATACTGAACTCGGGGATTGACAAATATCCTGGCCCTAGTCAATTCATGCTCAACCTTCTCACTGGCTCGGATACTATTAAAGAAATCACAGATTTGTTTGCTCCATTGGCCAAGAGATTTGCCATTTACAACTTCTGGGAGGGACTAGAAGCCTTTTTTGATGACCAAGCACAACAACCAGTTTATATTGTAGATGCGCTATCAGCTGCGCCAGTCTGGGAACAAGTTGATAAATGTGGAATAATGGCAAACCACTCAGGGATGGTCAAGTTCAGTACAAAGAGCGATCCTGGGTATATTGTCGTCTACCAGGCTCTTGAAAAGTATATCAAGGCTGCTCCACGAGTGGTAAGTAGAAGATGGGAGCAAGAAATGGAGCGAGTTATCGCGGAGCGCAAACAGGAGGCGGATGATCTTCTTCAAGAAATACCTTCCCCGCCTTCACAAATCCAAGCAATTGAACCGTATATCAATGTGCACTATATGGTACATCGTTGTTCTAGTAGTTATTTTGTAGGTAGAACAGGTCAAGCAGACAAGGTGAAGGAGATGTTTGGTGACATTACAACAAACCCTCGCTCCAAACATAAAATATTAGTAATTCATGGACTTGGTGGCTCTGGCAAGACACAATTTTCGCTGAGATATATAGAGAACAATCGTCACAGGTACGATCTTGATTTTCAATCTCGATCAATATTGGAGTTTTGCTAATCTTTGCAGGTATTGGGGAATTTTTGGATTGACCTGTAGCAACGAATTAGCTGCGGAGAAGGGTTTTGCTTCCCTTGGGGAGAATGCACAAAAAGCGTCTTCACTTGAAGCGGGCATGCATTGGTTGTCGAACCAATCGACATCATGGCTTCTCGTCCTCGATAATGCAGATGATCCAGAAATGGATCTGTCTAGATTTTTCCCTGCTGGCGGCAATGGCCACATATTGGTGACGACACGCAACCCTGGTGTAAGGATTCATAACACGGTTGGGTATCTTAAGTTTCAGGGAATGGATCCAGAGGAAGCAATTACATTACTTCTCAAGCTAGCTTACCCCGAAAAGGAACCCAAATTCCCTCTGGCCCCGCAAAATCGACAAATGGCTGAGGGAATCGCTTCTGAATTAGGTTATCTAGCACTCGCTCTTACTCATGCTGGCGCTACAATTCGTCAGAATATATTCACACTGGAAAGGTATTTGAAATACTACCTTGGCCACCGCAGGAACATGATTCGCTCTCGTTCAGTCAACAGCTGCACAGATGCTAACATTATATCAACCTGGGAAATTCCATTCGAACGGATTGCAAGCAAGAATTCACTTGCCCACAAAGATGCTGTGGAATTGATACAACTTTTTGCTTTCATGCATTTCGATTCTATCCCAGAGCAATTACTGCAGAGATCTTCGGATAGTATAAGGAAATTGAAAAGTTCCCTCGCTATTTACCCAGCTATTCTTAAGGTCAAATCGATGTGGAATGAAGATTCCCAAATTCGATTTCGCTTAGCAATGAATGTTCTGTACGACCATTCAATCATTGATAATGACCACGAAAAAAAAGTCTGCTCTTTACATCCGGTTGTCCATCGTTGGGCTAGGGATCGACTTAACGATACGCAGCAGAAAGACTGGCTGGGATGTGCGAGTTCAATCCTAGCCCATTCAATCTCGTCAAATTTCGAGATGTCGGAAAGGAAGTTCAGGAAGCAACTTTTGCCTCATATTAGTTCTTGTATCAGTGCCTTAAAAGATATGTATGGATCTCTTCCAAACAACATCGAGCAAGCCGCAGAATTGGAGAAATTTGCTCTAGTCTACGCAGAGAACGGGCAGTGGAAGCATGCCAAGCCACTTCAGGAGAAGGTTGTAAGGTTCCGGGTCAAAGTGCTGGGTAATCAACACCACTCGACCCTTCAAGGGCAGCGAAACCTTGCAAGTATGCACTGGGATCTTTTCGAAGTACAACAAGCCTTGCGACTCCAGTCACAAATACTCCGAGCTCAGTGGCGATCACGCCCTTCGATCTTTTCTTGGATAAAATGTCCTTTGAATCCAATACATACTTCATATTGTGTTGCTCTTGACGAATTCACTCGCACTTTGTGGCTCAGCGGGCAGCGAGAAAAATCACGTCAGACTGGGCAGCGTGCAGTATATGGACTCACGAAAGTACTGGGACATGATGATCCACAAAGTCTGAACGCCATGTTCAATCTAGCACGAACATATTTACATCTTGGCGAATTTGAGAAAAGTCAAGAGCTGCTTGCGCAGGTTGTTCAAAAGAGGGAACACTGGTTTGGAAAGGAACATCCTGATACGTTAATGGCACGGAACGAGAAAGCTATGATCTCAGTTATATTGAAGCAGGACTTGCTTACAGCGGAGAGCGAAATTTCCGATGTTCTTAAGGCGCGGAAGGAGACTTTGGGAGAGGAGCATGCGTACACCTTGTGGTCAGTGAATGATCTATCCAAAGTCTACTGTGCAACCGGTCGCTGGGGCGAGGCAGTCAAGAATTTGCAAGATATTCTACCAGTTGTGGCACGTACTTTGGGAGAGACACATGTCGGGATGATAATGACGAAATCCAATTTAGCACGCGCATATATTGGATGCAACAGATGGACCGATGCAAGAAACATCATTCAGCCATTACTGAGTGAAGTTCCATCCCAACATCCAGATTGGTTTCATATCAATCAAGAATACATCTCTATTCTACTGCGCCTCGATGATATGGACGGAGCCGAACGCAGTTGTAACGCGGTGCTTGATAACCTAGTTCGATACTCTACGTTTGGACTAGCGCATCCATATACCTTAAGCATTGCGAAACAACTCGAGAAGATCTACAAAACGCAATGGCGTTACGAAGATTGCGATAAACTGATCCAAAGATTTCCTTCGCTGAAAAGATCTTCGCATCCGAACAAGAATCTTCCTTCCAACCCCGATTTGCTCCCTGGAACAAAAACTATCTCGACACCAACGAATCGCAAAATCTATCACTCCAAGACCTTTTAACGGCCAAGAACACGAATTTCTCGCCCATCAGAGACTTCTGCTCTACTAGTCCAAGTAGCTCACGTATTGAAACGATTTTGGCAGTCGTAAGATAACGAGGCATCGATTCGACCCCTCACAAAGATATACTATCCTACCAAGGCAAACTTTGAGAGAAAACTGTCCTCTCTTATCAAAATTAAGAACCACTGGTGATTATTCTTCCCGTACATAGATTTACTTCATACCACCAGAGAAATCGCAAGACCAAAGCAGGATATTTCTATAGACCTCCCCATCTTCGGAAGCGAGAAGGGTGATTATTTTGTATCTATACTATTCAAATATATATACTATTCTGATATCACTATAATGATAACACATAACACATCAATATCAATCTAATCCTAATACACGCCCATGAAGATCCTGTGCGCGAGGAATTTTATAGTGAAGCATACAACTTGCTCGGTTTCCATGAAGTAAGATCCTCAATCTCAATCTCAATCTCAAGCCATCCCCTCTACATACACCGCACCCATCAATCAACTCTTTCCCTCAACACGATGCAGTCAATACCTATAGTAGCCTAGCTTTATACAAGTAGAAAAAAAGAAGAAGAAAAAAGACAGAAATTCTCAAACGAGATGACAGTAATCCTATCATCTCCAACCCGAAAAGCCACAGGAGGGAAAACGCACTTGCACATTCCCCGTTCCAGACTCATCGCGAGCGCCGGAGCAACTCTGGGTGGAAATCAACATGTGTACATCAACATCCAAGTATGAATATTGAGTACCTAAGCGAAAATAATACACTTTTAGATTCCGCTAAAACCCAGATATATACTTACAGAAAGTCTTTAATTACAATTACAATCAAAATTTCCTTCCAATGACTCTCATGATAGTTCCTCTTCATAACGAGGAATTCAGTCTTCATTGTTTTCCCAAAGCGGCGTACGCATTTTCCTATTCGGCTTGTCGACTGACACTCCTCTTACTCATGCCTAGATTCTGTAACTCCATACCCTCGCCCAACCCCCCACTCCTCCCTTCACCTTTCCAACTTTCTCTCCTCCTCGCCATTCCCGAACCAGGACCACCTGCTTGAAATTCTCCTCGCTCGGCTCGTCCTTCATCACTATCACCCTCTGTTTCCAGCACTCCTTTCCCATTTCCTCCACTTTCTCCAGAATTATTATTCGCCAGTACACCCTCCCGACCAACATCAGCACCAGTCGAGAATCCCTCCTCCTCAATCTCTTCTCCATGATTACCCCCCACACTAATCATCGTAAACGGACTCGCTGTCGCTCCATCCAATACACTCAATTCTTCTTTCGTGAACCACCTTGGTAGCGCCCAGATTCTAAACAGGAAATCAACGCCAGAATGATGACTGGGAACCCAACTGCCGCGATTGTCTGTGTGATGGCAAACGTGGCTCCGAAGCCAAAGAGTTGGATTGCGACGAATATCCAGATGGCCGATCTGCGGGGAAGATGTCGTAAGGGATCAGACGATGGAGTCAAAGAGGAATCTTTGAGAAGGAAGAGAATTTTAGTAGTTATGCCATTGCCGAGGAGAGCTTGGATACCCATAACGAAGAAGAGACCTGCCAAGACACCTTGGGGTATGAGATGAATGACTATGAGGAGTGGGCCAGTCATGGTTCCTAGGGTTAAGAGACCTTGGGCTAGATTGCTCACTCGTTGCTCGACGACGTGGGATTTAACTGTTTTGAGATGACCCTTTGAGTCTCCTGATTCGTCGGTATCGGCAACAAGTTTGGTGACGCAAAGAGACTCAGTGTGGAATGGAGCTTGTGGAATAAGACCGTTCGGAAAAGGAATTCCCAACAGGCCTGCTATACCGGTCGTTAAACCGAGGAGAAAAATGTCCCAGTGGAAACCAGCAGGCTTTCGAAGGGGAAATTCAGTTCCTTGGGCTATCAGAGAAGATACTATGCCAAGTCAGTAACGGAAACTTGGTGTTGGGATGGATAATTCATCATTTACCATTATGATCGAAGTAAAACAAGATTGTGAGTAAAATGGCAAATGGTATAGCAATAAAAACATCCGAAACTCTAACGTCCCAAAAATGTACAAACCACCCTCGATCGGTTGTCGGATAGAAGGCTCTACTGGTAGGTAGTGTACTTAGATCTACATCTCCCATCTTACCAATGTGTACAAAGCCAGTAAAAAATATGATAGTAAGAGGAGTTCCGTAATCTTTGATAAAAACTCGAACATAGTGTTGAAACAATGGACTGTCTCCAATAACACCGCACAAGAATGCAACGATGGTGACGAGTAGAGCAATAACAATAGAAAGGTAGAACGGCTCACCCGAGCCTTGACGGGTAAGGACTTGAATACCTTTCTGAAGGTAGATGAAAGCTACGTAGAATCCAAAGATATCGCAAGAAAAACGCGTGACATAACGAAGTCCATTGCATGAATTGGTAATGGCGAGTATCCAATGCATCACTAGGGACCATCTACTTCCGTTAGTCTTCGCACACACAACAAATTTTTAGATATAAAAGATACTCACAATCCGATTAGTGCTAAAAATGCAAAATAATTTGCCCCCGTGGGAACAATAATATCGTAAACAGTACTATCTATATTAGCATCAAATCAAATGCGATCTTTACACAGTCATACATACTAGTTGAACACAGTGATTGGCCCGGTAACCCCTACAATAACCAAAGGTTGAGCGGCAAATACAGAGAAAACCACTGATCCCAAGACCGAAGCAAGGAGGACTTCATTGACTCCATAACTCATATTCGTCTTTGTAAACCTTATATCCTGATCAGACCGAATTTCATCATATATGTTCGACAATAGACTTACATATCCAAAGAAAAAGCCAGTGCAGGCAAGATACTACCAAGTAATTAGCTCATTGTCAATAGCCGTGTATCAGCCCATTTCCATGACCTTTCTCCTCAGAACCCGGAGAATCGACCTTCAAATGGATTATCAACGACGTACTTCGCAAAATACATATAGATCGTGGCCGGCACAACTCTATAATCCCAAGCATCCGTCCAATCACTCCAGTAATATGGCGCCCTTCTCTTCAAATCATTGACCATGCCTCTAAAAAATCTAATTTTATACCATTTCGGGACATGTTTGCTTTTCGCGGAAGCATTTGTGTTCGCTGCCTGCAGACCATCATATTCATTGGGCGCCTCCGCACTACGCGATGTAGAATTTGTGTTACTGATATTTAAGGAATTGAACCGATTGCGCCAGGATTTGGCTGTAGAGGTATTTTGGGGAACTTGATGGGAATTGGTGGCGGAGTTGTGAGGGAGAGCACTAGGGAGCGAATAAGAATTGGAGGGTTGAGTAGCCATGTTGATTATTTTTTAATTCGGAGAGTTAAAGACTGGAGAGCAGCAATTGAGACATCGAGATGTATATATACAGGGGATTTGGAGGAGAGTTAGGTTGGAGATAAGTTGAAGATAAGTTAATTGAGATGTCAATTTGAATTTATTTGTTTTCTGGAAGGCGGTCAAACGGATATGGAGTCCCTTGGCATATTGTGGGGTATGTCGATGATGATGATGATGATGATGATGATGATGGGGGGATGAAATCCTGGCGTCGCCTAGAACCTTTCAGGTCTCAAGTTTAGCCGACCAATCACATGCAACTGAACATCACACTACATACAGCAGTTGAGATTTTCAATAAATTCGGCTCAGAAGACAATAACAATCCGAAGAAAGAAAACGCTTTAACCTACTTGCTGTCCACGTCAGGACAGTATGTTTGTGGTATAAAGGCACGATGAAGCTGTACTTTCCAAACAAAGCAGGATATAAGATGATGTGTTTGTAAACCTTTCACCACATAATTCTTCTGTAAAGTAGATAGCAGAATATTCCAGCCCAAGTGTAACAAAGCCTTGCTTAGAAATTGCTATTTACTATTATTGAATCATTTTTCCATATCGAATATGGAATATTGGGTATCTTCATACGTGTGGTTGTATCTATCGTAAAAAAATCATCGCAATCATATCGTGAAACCTAACGGCTGGAGAGAACTGCTCTCTTCGTTTCATCTTCCTTCACCCATGTCTCAATCCTTTCACCTACATTTCCGACCAAACTTTCGTATTGCGGCCCTGGGAAGAAAAGACCACAATGTGCCCCAACTTCATCTACACCTTCCATATAAACTCGGACCCAGCAGACGTCTCTCTTTCCTCCAGACTCCGCAGGCAGCATACAGAACTTCCTGTCCTTCTTCGGCTTCTCCGTCTTCTCCGTCTTCTCCACTTTCGCGACATTTTCTTTTCCTTTAGGGGACTTAGAATTCAATGCAGCTTGCCGCTTTTCCTCCTCTTTTTCTTCCTTCAATCTCTGCTTCTCTTGAGCTTTCATTCGTTTCTCCTCTTCTTGTCGTGCTTTCTTTTCTCTTTTCTCGATTAACTTGCGACGATCTTTGAGAGCACTTTCGCGGTCTTTCAAGGCTTGATTATAAGCTTTCATAATGCGTTTGTGCTCCTTTTCTGCGATTTTTCGAGAGTCCTTGTCTGTGTAAAGGCTGAGGTCTATTGGTTGAGGTTCCGTCGGTGCATCGGGAATAGGAGGAAGTGGAGGCTCGGTGGATATTGTAGGTACAGTAGAGTTCGCATCGTTCTTGTCATCAGCATGTGATAAAACCACCACAGGTATCTCTTCGTCTTCTCCAATGGGCATTGAATCGACGTGTTGCATTTCTGGTAGTGGTGGCGCATCTTCTTGAACTCCTGAGCTATCACCTAGCTCTTGCATCTGTTCCTCGACTTGCTGCACATGTATGTCGTCGGCAGAATCAATATTGGGATCCGTCGTAGTTGTGTTTTCCACTGATGTTAAAGGCTGAATTTCAGAATCTTGTAGACTTAGACTACTCATTCCTGCCTCCGATGCGGCAATATTGTCATTAAGAGGTACTTCGACAGCAGAATTTTTTGGCGGCTTCAGCCGACCAGTACTTGCAGTATAGTAATTCACGAATCTTCTTTGAAAGCTTTGATTTCGATTGGCAGGATTACTTCGCTCAGCAAGATCATCAACATCTTCTAGAGCACGCAATTTGGAATAGCGATTCATCATGCCAGGATAATCTGCTAGACAGCTACCAAATTCTATATGGGACATAAAGTACTGTGAAGTTGCCGAGGTTAAGCCACTCAGCTTTCCTGTTAGCCCAACACCTTCAGCATGCTTGTTGACGAAATGTAAGAAGTTTTCGAATCCTTTTCGTTCCGGTATCCTAATATCATTGGGGAAAGGGGCGTTGTAATATGGATCATTGGGTGGTGGGGTAGCCAAAGATGTCATACTTTGTGCATTACTTCCTTGATACATCGTATTTGAATCTGAGAGAGTGGCTGCAAGACTTGCTGTAGATGCAGGACCATTTATCGACGGCGAACTTGCCCCAGCGGGTGACAACGAACCTGTTCTTGAACTTGGAGGATCTGGCGCGGGTCTAAAGAGACTTCCAATTCCACTAACCACAACTCCAGGATGCATACCTAGGAATGGGGTATCAAAGCTAATTGTTCCCAAAATCCTATGGCGAAAGCGTCGATTTGCTGGAGGAGATGGTGATTGAAGAACAACCTCAGCAGAAAGAATCCCACCCATACTATGACCAAGTAAGATGATGTCTGTTAGAGCACCTTCATGAGGCTCTAGCCTAGTAATGGACTTCGATTAACCGTGAAATATGATAAGAGAAGATATTCTTACCAAACGCTAAAATCATCTCGTGCAAAATTGATCGCTTTTCTGGACTTGTACCTGGGATAAATCTTTGTATGAACGACATGAGTAGCTTCAAGCGTAATACTTAGAAGATTATGAACATGAGCAGGAAAACTTTGGAAACTGGTTTCGTTGCCCATAAACCCGTGAATATAGATGAGTAGTAATTTGCGACGGCCATCTCGATTAGATTCCGAAGGCACTAAAGAGTGTGTAGAAGATGATCTTGGATCGTTTGAACGCCATTGCTCTGAAATAAGTTCACTCCTCTTTGCATCGTCATCTGTGTAGGGCGGAGGGGCCTGAATAGACTCTCCTCGTGGTGGAAGTGGGGGCGGGGTATCATATCTTGTTGTTGGACCTTCTGAACGATCTTGACGAGCTTTCTCTGCTAACTGAGCAGGAGTAGCCATGTTCTTTTTGAAAGGAGGAGGGGGGCGGGGTTTCAAGTGGTATTATCTCAAGGTACTTTGTTCGAAGTAAAATGTGATTGCGATCTGAATATAAATCACTGTATTGTTGGTGATTTGTGTTCATGCAGAGATCATACGCGGATTGATACGCGGATTGATAGATTTCAAGGTTTCCGTCAGGGGCTGTACAGTGTGCCATTATACCTCGTGATGCAAAATGCCAAATGATGTCTTTATGCGCCACCAAACGAACTTATTGCATAGACATTCACAAGATTCTGCATAAAAACGTTTATTATGCATAATATTGGTTTTGATGTTTGTTATTGGTGAAGGTAAAGGTTGGCAGATTTGTTTCGAATATTCCTCCTGTTTGGATTGTTTTGATGAAAGTAATCCACCATACCTATATCTCGGTATTCTTCCAGAATCTGAGTTTGAATCTGGATCTAAATCTAAATCTGAATCCGAATCCGAATCTTAGTACAGTACTCAAGTCAAGTCAAATCATTAGCTAATATCAACCTTATAGCCAAAAGTCTATTCCCGATTACAGTTATTCATTCATCATATTCTTTCATATGGAATACCTACAGTAAGCCTAGGTATCAACGTACTGTACCCACTGCCGCGAATCGCCCCAATCTACAGAGAGTACTGGGCTGCTTGGCCTGGCTGGGCTACTAGCCAAGTAGGTTGCAACCGCCGCATCAAAGCTTCAAAGACTAATGCACAACAATTGTGGTTCATAGCGAGATCTGTGAGGAAAAAGGATCTTATTATTCCTCCGTAGACTCTTTAGTCGCCATTTTAAAATTTTCAACCGCTTAATAAGTCAGGTACGAGTTGCACTAGACTGAGAACTATAATGTGATCCGTTCCTGCAGTTGACTACTTAACTACTTGCAGTAGTACATCTAGGTACATTCAGAGTAGCTCGAGTAGACATTGGTTACTTGAAAGGATTTCCATTATTATGTCTGATCCTGTCCACTCCAAACAATTTTATGTATGTACAGAGGTATAGAGTACATAAATCACCACGAGAAGTACCTAGGACCTAGGTATTCATTCTTTCCACCCGTACCCGAATCTCGCTTCACTCTTATTTAATTCGGACGATTACCGGATATTCTTGATAGCTTTTGGTGGCAACGACTGAACCATCCATATATTTGTGCCATATATACGTGCCATATGCGTGTGCCATATGTGCGGTGTACCTAGGTATGTGCTACATGTACCTAGCTACCTATAACATGGTGGTGTCCTATCTTGGGAAATCAGGGGAAACTCGTAATGCTCATCCTAATGTTACCGAAAGACATGGAAAGACATCATCTATCGATGATACTTATTATGGACTTTCTCCCCCCGTATCCTTTCAATTTTTTTATAGATGTGATGAGCAAGAAGATGATGAGATTGTCTCTCTTTATGATGCAGCAGGAGAAGCCATCTACTTTTTAGTTTCTCCTTCCGCGATTCTAGTCTCTCGCCTTCACCCTTTAGTCCTAAATCTTTACCCACATAATAAGGGGGCACGTACATTCTGAGGCTACTGTAGTTTGTGTATTCTTTGCAGCGATCCACAAGTTGACGATAAATCAATGTGATTTGATTAATTCTCTGGGGTCTCGACAATGCATGGATTCCCATTTGTTTACCCAGGTACTAGGTAGGTAGAGAGCAGACACTTTGCTGCTTTGAGTAATTCGCGTACTGCGTAATATCATACTAATATGAATGGTTACCCAAGCCATCGAATCCCGAATTATAGATCATTACCAAGTCAACGCCCACCCTCTGAGCCTCCTCATCCACAGCGCACACTCAATCATCGATTCCACCCTCATCTTATTGGTCATTAGCATTATACGTACAGCGCAGAGATTCATGAATGACCCCCGTTGACCCAGCCGTATTTGCGAACCTAGAACCTTTTGCAGAATGATAATTATGGGACGAAGAAACGGCTCAGAGACAAGTTCACAACAGACAACCAAAACAACAAAAGCAACCAAAACAACAGAGACAAAATACGTTTTGTTCCCCATAAAATGGCCGGGTACCCTTGGAGCCTCGTGCTTATTATTCGATAACTGCCATCAGTTGCCATGTCGAATTAATTTTCTTTTCTTCTCCGTCCCTCTCTCTCCTCTCGCTCCTCTCGCTCCTCGCCCTCCTCGCCCTCCTCGCTCTCTATTAATAAAATAATTGGACAATTGATTCATTTACCTGGGGATCCACTTTTGCAATCCTTGAGGATAAAATTTTCAACGGGAGAGATAATTCGTCAGCCTGACTATTCACGAACCTTTAAAAAGGACCAAAGGTAACTCTAGCGAGATTGGAAATTGGTTCTTGGCCCGTGCTAAGCCAAGCTAACCAAAAGTGGATCTGTCGTACCTGAGCGAAGAAATGTTGTGTGATCCTGTGAAGCTTGTGAAGTTGTGAGCCTGTCCAGTCGAGCCAGTCCAGTCCAGTCCCGTCCTGTCCTGTCCTGTACTTTGTAAACTACCATCAATCAATATTCACTTTTTCACTCTCACCCCCTCAACCCAACCCAACCTACCTCCTCCCTACCCTTTTCACGAAAAAAAAACACAAAAAAATTCAAAAGCCCTCTTTTTCCATGACGACGGCAATGAGGGTGACGTCGAAGTTGTAAATATTAAACTGCCCAAGTCGGCGGAAGTCACTCCTTTAAACAATTAGCTTTACCCACTGAGCGCTGTAGACGCAGCTGCAACAAAAAGGGCAACGCCATGAACGACGCTGAGCCATCACTCTTTCTGGCCAGACACGAGCATGCATATGGGCAATCTCATCACAATCATTTAAAACAACACCAAAAATTCCACAACAAACGTCAAACGACGGTCGTTGAAACGGCGACAGCTGAAGCTTCCGCCATAACAGAAGTCTATCAAACAATATCCGTCGTCCAACAGGTTGATGTCGATAGCGATGGATCGACGCTCGCGGTCCAGACCTTTCCGGCAAGTGACTACTCGTCTTTGAATATACAGGCCGCAGCAACAACAACACCCTCGACTTCTTCGAGTATGAGTACAGATATCACTTCCACACTTTCTACAGATCTCGGGGCTCAAGCTACATCATCTGGCCAAGTCGTCCTATCGTTATCATCGAGCACTGATGTGACTTCGACTTCCACTCCTTCCACTAGCTTTTCTACTTTCACTCCTAATTCTAATTCAACTACATGTAAGTTAAACTTTCAGATCCTTTTGGTGAAACAATGTATTAATGGTATGATATTAGTAATTTCTAGCTCAATTCCGAATTCGACTCCAGTCTCAGTATCAGTTTCGATTTCAGGTACATTTTCAAGTTCTACAACATTATTTTCGAATGCAACTGCTTCTCCTTCAATTTCCTCCTCCTCATCATCCACAACATCCACAACATCCACATCGTCCACGTCCCCCAAAACTAATACTACCGCAATTCCTTTTGCTGGCTCAACTTCGACATCCTCATTCGAAACTTTCGCATCGACGATAACGTCTTCGTTTTTATCTTCATCTCCGTTTCTTTCTTCGGCCGCATCGTCAACTTCTTCGATCTCAGACTCGAACACATTTTCGTCATCATCCTCGCCATCTCAAACAGATTCGACTAGCAGTGGTATTTACGTTGGGGGAGGTACAGGTACTGGTTCTGCATCTGGGGGTAGTGGCGCTACAAATACTGCCGTTGCTGGGAGTGGTAGCAGTGGCAATGGAACAGATAATACTTCAACGCCATCGACATCCACGATAGTTGGAGGTGTAGTCGGTGGAGTAGCTGGTCTTGCTGCAATTTTGTTTCTTCTGATGTTTGTATTGAGATGGAAGAAGAAGAATGGTGGCATGTTATCTCTTGGAAGTGTGCCTCCTTCGGCGGTTGCAGGTGGTGGAAGCAGTGGAGGAGCTGGTGGGAATGGCGGCAGCAATTCGGCAAACCAAGCCCCAGGTTTCTCTAATCAAGCTCCCCGTAGCATGACAGAGCGTAGATCACTCGCTATGGCCGTACCTGCAGCGCTGGCCAGTCTCTCGAAAACTAAGCGATCCTCTCAAAATACAGCAACTAATACAATCTCCTCAGCAGGCAGTGAAAGAGGCTTCTACAGAGTATCTGGCAAGAAGCTTCCCTCTGTTTTACAACATGGAGGTGACGGTTATGCTGAGCCAAATCCAAATACATTGAGCGGATCTTCCTTCTATCCCTCTGGAGTGCCTCCTATCCCTAACTCGAATACTTTGAGTGGCACCTCGTTCTACCGAGATTCTCAGGGATTCTATGGAGGACAACCAAGCCCACCTCTCGAACCCACGAATAGAGACTCTGGAGTCCCAGTCATGAGACCTAGTCCCGCAAGAACCCCCGTTACAGAACATGGCCCGTTTGCAGAACCACCCGTAGCTACCCCGCCTAGGCCGGATCTTTTGGGTCGCTCGCACCCCTCACAAGATGGCTCCCATCCCTCAAGATTTACAGAAGAAGTCTGAAATAAGAACTCTCGGCATCTTTTAGGAGAAATTCTGGGAGATCATTGGCATGGATAAAGGTGAAGGGTTTCGCTTTCTGGTAGTTGTTGTGCGGCTTTTTTGGAATTACCTTTTTAGGTAGTCCTTGGATATCTGCTGCAACTCTGCATTGGGTTTGGCGTTTTTTTTTTCCTGATATGTAGTGCAGGATTTTTGATACCAGTGAGCGCGTGGAGATTTATCTGATTTGCTGCTTCTTACGTTATGATGCCTCTCGGCAATATTCAGGGGAAGGGGGGTAGTCGATTTAGGATAGGCATTTCTCCTGAGATCAGTACATAACTGATACTTGTTCTTTTCCTTGGAGTAAAGTAGATGATCTTGTTGGATAATATAGGCGCCGCTTCTGTAGCAGCAGGCGAATAGCTAGGTTACAAGATCAGAGAGGATGGAATAAAAGATAATGTCTTTTTATGGATGAAACCCAGCGTGTCATTTTGAAGCTTGGATGCATTGTGCATAGTGATTTTCTTGGATGTGATGAATTGGAGAATTGAAAAAGTGCCAGATTTGGGTGTACACAAACATTAGAGTGGCTATGTATGTATGATGCTGCAGTGATGTATACCCTTTTGAGTCCAAGCGAGGTTGTTAAGTTCTGGGTTGGGGCCGATAAAGTCTCCCACTCGTTTCAGCAGTGTAACAGGTCAAATTGTGTAGAGAATTCATTGGTTCATACAGACGCTCCATGAGGTGTCTTTAACCCCGCATTGGCCGATAGCGTCTAGACTTTGTTACCGTAGTATCGGGGTTAAAGAGTTGTGCTCAATACCGTAGGTATGGGACACAAATGTAATGAAAATGGAAGATATTGGATCAATATGGCCATGTGATAAAAGCCTTTGAGGAGTACAGCAGTACAATTTGAATGAAGTACAAGAGAGAGAGAAGAGAGAGAGTGCGGGCCGGCAGCTTCGAAGAGTTATTAGCTCCGGGATCTGTACATGATCAACCTGTATATCAGAGATACCTTGAAGCTTCTATCCGATGTCCGTAGCTTAATAAAATACTTCCAAGGCAGCTTGCGTGAACTCTAATTCAACATCTTTTGTAAGTATTGTATTGACATATTACGTGGTCGATGATTGTACCCAAGCGAACTCTAACTAAGTGATGTTACCTGTTGAATACCACCCATCTACTGAAGAGGTGTCAAATTAACATAGAAGCTGCTTATTACAGACCATACCTCGAATCTTCTCACCAGCAAAATAATGCTTAGTCAATCAAGGATTATTTTGAGATGGGGGTCGTAGTTTGAAATAATAATCGGTGATATCGTATGAGTCGTGAGATGATCGGTGATCAAAAGACTCCTTTCCTGGTTTGTGTGATGCAACACTTTGAATTTCAGATAGCGAGATAGCGAGATAACGAGACAATGCCTTTCTTTTCCAATTGACTTCTCCTCATCCATTCTCCTGCTTCTCTATACCTTTCTCCATGTTCTTTTGTCCTTGTTGACCTTTGCCCATTACCTAGGTACGATAATCATCCTTTGAAAGCTCCAGAAAGCTCAGACCATAATTAAAATACCCCTAAGGTCGGTCTTGTCGGCCGTAGCAACCCCTCAGCACTACCCTACTGGCAGGCATTATTTTCTTCGCCTTTCCCCCCAAAAAGTCTAAATCGCAATACATTTCCTGGCTCTTTCAACTCTTTATTTGGCACCACACTATATCAGATCTCATCTCAGCTCAGCTCAGCTCAGCATATAATCAATTCAATCGTCATCTGGCCACTAAGCCTTCAGGATCCACAAACAGCGCCCCAGTCACAAAGAAATATCGGCACCCGATACGTGACCCAGACTCGAGAATTATTAGTACACTGCGATTAAGCGGAATCTCACACAAACTCCGGTTTCTGGCAACTGCTCCAAGAAGCTTGTACGAATACGAATCAGCATCGGCTTGGATGATTTAACGGGGACTTCCAAACGACTCCAGTCACTTGCGCTTTTATTCAAAGTCAACTTGATTACTATGCGATAGTTAACGATGATGGATTCCATGCACCATGATACCAATGCTTTCATGCCCCAGATTTCTGCACCGCCCATAATGAACCCCCCGCCTCAAATATTCGGGGCTTACAATGCAGATGGTTTACCGGTTTCGAAATTACCCGATTTCAATGGTCCAATTTTTGGTGATGGAACCCTCCTCGATGAAAGCAACGAGGCAAAACGGAGGAGGATAGCGAGGGTACGATTCGAAGTTCTGCGAAGGAAAGTGAAATAGAAAGAAAGGCTGACGATGGCAGGCTTGTGATATGTGCCGGAAGAAGAAGATCAAGTGCGATGGAAAATTACCAGCTTGTACGCATTGTATCAACTACAAAACAGAATGTGTCTTTACACAAGTCGAGAAGAAGAGGAATCCCCCCAAAGGGTAAGCATTTCGGTTGAACTGTGTGTTATTTTGGCTGCGAATCTTGGCCGCTGATTCCCAGACAGAGCGAAATACATCGAGGGCCTTGAGAATCGTCTAGGTCGCATGGAAAGTTTGTTGAAGCTATCTGGTTTGTCTCATCAACTTGGGCATGTTCTGTTATGTTTAATGATTGACGGATAATGTTCTAGGCCTCCTTAGCGAAGAAGATGGTGGACGAACGGATCTGGGAACATTGGAGAAGATATTACAGGAAAAGAATCAATCGCGGAGAGCATCTGCTGTGCCTGCTTCAAGCGCAACGTCTCCGACTCAAAGTACCCCAGGTGGCCCGCCCGAAGCGAATGGATCGACCCCTAAGAGTACTATCGCATCGCCGGAACCAAATAAAGACTCCGAGAAGCGACAAAGCAAGGACAGTAAAAGTGGAGAGACTGATGAAAATGGAGAGCCCGTCGAGGCGCTTTCAGATATGATGTGCTCCTTAATCACAAATAATTGTGGAGAAACAAGATATATAGGTACGGAATTTTGTTTATTGAAGATGAGCTATACTAACAAGCTCAGGATCATCGTCTGGGTTCTCCATATTTTCGCCAAAGGGCATCTCATGGGTCAATGAGAAAACGGGCGATTCATCCTTTCAGGAGATGATATCTTCTGCTTCCGTGGATGATAATAAGATGATGTATTGGAAGCCGGAAGTATTCTCGGATTTGTTTGCACGACCGATATGGAGGCAACTTCCTCCCAAAAACGAGTGCGTGTCTTTACTCAAGGACTTTTTTGAGAATTTTAATTGCATGTTTCCCCTTTTTCACCAACCTACCTTCATGCATTTGGTCGATCGACAATACTCCAATGATCCTTATGAAGGCTCCGGATGGTGGGCAAGTCTCAACTGTGCCCTTGCCATTGCTCATCGTCTCCGCGTCATGAGTCACCTTGTGCCACAAGAAGAAGACACAAAAGCTTGGGGCTACCTCAAAAATGCGATGGGCGTTTTTACTGAACTCACGATGCGGAATACTGATTTGCTCAGCGTACAAGCTTTGTTGGGAATGGCTTTGTTTATGCAGGGTACACCAAATCCGCAGCCTTCTTTCTTTCTTGTAGCAGCCGCTATTCGACTTTCACATAGTATTGGACTTCACAAACGTGGATCCGGCTTCAACCTCAATCCCGTTGAGATTGAGCAACGCAAACGTGTATTCTGGATAGGATACATGCTAGACAAAGACATCTGCTTACGCTCAGGAAGACCTCCTGCACAAGATGACGATGATATGCATGTCGAATTACCGAGCGCTGACCCCGAAGACAACATTGGTAATATCCCTCTAGCCGATGGAAAAGGAAAAGTTAACCTCTTCCGCTTGATGTGTGAATTCTCAACTATTGAGAGCAAAGTATACAAGCAGCTTTATTCGACTAAAGCCTCAAAACAGTCAGATGGTGAACTTCTCAACACCATAGGAGAGCTTGATTCTCAACTTGAAGAATGGAAAGACAGTATTCCAGTTGACTTCCGTCCAGAGCACGAGATCAAGGCTTCACATACCCCTTTAATTCTCCACGTTGTTGTTCTTCATTTCGCTTACTATAATTGCCTCACTACAATTCACCGCATGTCTGTTCATCACGGATATTGGACTAGCCGTCTCTCTAATTACGCTATTCAAGGCCTGAATGCTAGACCTCTAAATCCTCGTGTCTTTTCCTCGGCCGCATTATGTGTATCTGCTGCTCGGGCTTCCATACATCTTATCAAATATGTTCCCCAGGGCGACTTCGCTTGTGTTTGGTAAGCTAGAGTCACATACTACCTGGATTACAAGCTGACATATTTAGGCTCATTCTCTACTTCCCCGTTTCCGCGCTGGTAACACTCTTCGGTAATATTCTACAAAATCCTCAAGATCCTCGGGCACGCTCTGATGTTCGTCTTATGAACCTCGTTGTTAACTTCCTTTCTATGCTGGGCACCGAGGAAGAAAATGGAGGTGTAAAACGCATGCTTGGAGTCTGTTCAGAGTTTGAGAGAATAGCGAAAGTCGTTTTGGATAAAGCAGAAAAGGAGACGTCTTCAAGAAGAAAACGAAAGAGTGGCGATCATTCGACCAAAGCATCACATATGCCTAGGGCCGGTCAACCACGAACTCCTATGAACACTACTCAATCCCCCATGCCTGGAGTCTTCTCTCCCAACTCGACAAACCAAATGAACTTTCAGAACGGATTTAGCCCCATGCAAGGAGCTTCTCCTAACTCTAATTGGCAATCCGACTTTGCTCCTTCTGGAGGTGATTTTATGGGACAAAATACAGGGACACCATTTGGGAGTGTTCAAGGCTTTGCGAATGGAAATGAGTTCAGCTCCCCATTAAATCCAAATTCTTTCCAACAACCTTTTGTTCCTCAGGATCTTTGGCAGATGCCAATGACCCTTGAATGGGACTGGGCAGAAATGACAGGCGGCGCATATCAAAGTTTCGAAAATGGCGTTATGGGGGACCCTAATCTTCATATGAACGATAATTCACATCTACAAAACCAGGGAGGGGGAATGTAAACCAAGGATTTTGGCGTTCTCATCTATGGAGATATCTGGAAATCAAGGTGTTATGATAGTACTGGGCATAGGAGGGGGTTACATCTGGCATAAATTAAGGGCTCATAGCACTCGCTTTGCATGATGGTTATGGCGCTTTCTGGGAGGATTCGGCTGGCTTAGGGATGATTACCTTTAGCTTTATAAGAGGTTCATAGGGATGGTGTAAACTGGTGTCTCCTCTGATCATGTTACTGCAAGGCTTCATTATGCCTAACCAATGTATTCTAATGACTTGCTTTGAAATACGTAAAATAGGCTTGTACTATTAATTTTAAACAACTACATGAATGTAAAATAATAAAAGTTAGTCAGTTATTTCAATATCATTTTTATGATCGATTATCATTGGGAAACAAAATACCAGTATGTCCGAGGTTAATAAAATTTATCAAATATCAACATCAATGTATCTTTGAGTTTCGATATCGAAAATGCGCTAGTGTTGTAATCAATCAAGCTTAATCGAGGCATCATAATGATTCGCCTCCCACCTCTAACTCCGACATCCACAAACCACTTCGAATACACTCTCAACCCCTCTTAAATAGTGGTCAACGTCACGGCAAGTCATCCCAGTGACTCTGAACCACGTCTATATCCCAAATACCACACGTACAGCTCTAGCCAAGCATGACATCAATATTACGACAATGCAGCTCTCTTGCTAGAATTTCTCAGACCACCATCCAATCTGCCGCACGAAATTCCCTCCGTACATCATCGACAGCACCCTTATTACGGTCGCGGATAGCTGCACAAAGAGCGCGCACATTCGTCACCAAGCCGCCAAAGCCAGACAAGGACACGGGGAAGGATGAGTCGGAGGTGAAGTCGAAAAATAAAAATTCGTCAAAACCACCCACCAAGTCCGCTCCCGGGACGGAAAACCTCTACAACGGAAAGACTCCTTTGTCTCCCTCGGAGAATGGTGCGGAAGCACAGGAGCCACCGCTGGTGGAAGGATATGTGAAGTTGACGGAGGAGGAGATGAAGCAGCTAGAGCAAGTAATTGCTTCGATGCAATTTGGAAAAGGCCAAACTCAAGAATTAAGGGAATCTTTGAAGGAGATAAATAAGGCAGGAGTGCCATCTGACTTAAGAGATTTGTTGAAAGAAGTGAAGGGTAGACCGATGACTTTGACAGAAGCTGCAAAATTTACAAGACTGGTGTTGCAGATGGCGTGGTCCGCTGCAAAGGTCCAATCACAGGCACAACAGTCACAGGGAACAAATTTCAATTCAAACGAGCCAGGATCTTCTACAAATGGTAACAAAGGAGACCAGAAGCAGGGTGGCAAGAAAGGCAATCAGCACGAAAGCTTCAACTTTGGCAACTCGTCGGATATCAAACTCGATACTACAACCTTATTGATTGGATCTTTCGCAACATACTTTCTATGGCAGACACTCTTTCCCGGCACCAACAAGAAGGATATCACATTCCAGGAATTCCGAAATAACTTCTTTGACAAAGGGTTGGTCAAGAGATTGACTGTGGTTAACAAGTCGGAGGTCCGGGTTGATCTTCACACTGAAGCCGCTGCTGCGATGTATCCAGACTCTCCTGCCGGTAACCCCAACTTTCATTACCACTTCTCGATAGGTTCTGCCGAAGGTTTTGAGCAAAGAATGGAACAAGCACAAAACGAGCTAGGAATACCTGTTGCTGAGAGGATACCAATTGGTTACGCTAGTGATGGAGATACATGGGCTCTTATCTACTCTTTCGGCCCTACACTTTTGTTCATTGGTGCTATTTTCTACATGTCAAGGCGAGCTTCGGCAGGTGCTGGAGGCCAGAGTGGCATTTTTGGAATGGGAAAAAGTCGAGCAAAGCAATTCAATCACGAGACTGATGTAAAGGTTAAGTTTAAGGATGTTGCCGGTATGGATGAAGCAAAGCTAGAAATTATGGAGTTTGTCTCCTTCCTAAAGACACCTGAGCAATTCCAACGTTTGGGTGCTAAAATTCCTCGCGGCGCTATTCTTTCTGGACCACCAGGTACTGGTAAAACTTTGTTGGCAAAGGCAACAGCTGGTGAATCTCAAGTACCATTCTTTAGTGTCAGTGGTTCCGAATTCGTCGAGATGTTTGTTGGTGTTGGAGCATCGAGAGTTCGGGATCTTTTCGCCATGGCCAGAAAGAGCACTCCTTGTATTATCTTCATTGATGAAATCGATGCTATTGGAAAGTCTCGTGGAAAATCCGGTGGATTTTCTGGAGGTGGAAACGATGAACGGGAAGCTACACTCAATCAAATCTTGACTGAGATGGACGGTTTCAACACGACTGAGCAAATTGTTGTTCTTGCTGGTACCAATAGACCCGACGTACTTGACAAGGCTCTAATGAGACCCGGTCGTTTTGATAGACACATTTCTATCGACAGGCCGACCATGGATGGTAGAAAGCAAATCTTCAAGGTTCACTTGGGCAAGATTGTTACCAATGAGAATATTGAGTACTTGACTGGACGATTGTCAGCCTTGACTCCAGGTTTCTCTGGTGCTGATATTGCCAACTGTGTCAATGAAGCTGCTTTGATTGGTAAGTATTTCCTCTTCAATTTTTTGACTATTACTAATTTTGAATAGCTGCCCGAACACAAGCCAAATCTGTAGCTATGTTACACTTTGAACAAGCTATTGAGCGTGTTATTGGTGGTCTCGAGAAGAAATCTCTCGTTTTGTCACCAGAAGAGAAGAAGACAGTTGCCTACCATGAAGCAGGCCACGCAATTTGCGGTTGGTACTTCAAGTGGGCTGATCCACTTCTCAAAGTTTCCATCATTCCTCGTGGACAAGGTGCCCTCGGATACGCACAATACCTTCCTGCTGGCGACACTTACCTCATGAATGTCAACCAACTTATGGATCGTATGGCAATGACTCTCGGTGGACGTGTATCAGAAGAACTCCACTTCGAAACCGTCACCAGTGGTGCTAGTGACGATTTTAACAAGGTTACTCGTATGGCTACCGCCATGGTAACTAAATGGGGCATGTCTAAGAAACTCGGCCCCCTCCATTTCGAAACCGATAGAGAAAATCAACTCATGAAACCTTTCGCCGAATCGACAGCTCAAACTATTGATTCAGAAGTTCGACGTATAGTCGATGAAGCATATGAGAAATGTAGAAACCTACTGGTGGAGAAGAAGAACGAAGTGGGTATCATTGCAGAGGAACTTTTGGCGAAGGAGGTGCTCGGTAGAGATGATATGGTGAGATTACTGGGACCAAGACCATTTGATGAGAATAAGGATTTCATCAAATACTTCGGTGGAGGATCGTTAGGAAAGAGTGCGCCACCACCACCGGCGACGGAGAGTACGGATTTGCCAACTGAGGACTCTACTCCTCTTGCTTAGAGGTCGATGGAGAATAGGATTTGAGAAGGCACTGGGGAGGAGCTTGGAAGAATGGAGATTTGTATAGGATGGGATATCCATCACGAGATATCTTGAATGAAGGGTAGGGACGGGGAATGGCATATCAAAATATGCCAAGGAATCAATGAAGAGAAAAGGAAGAAAGAAAGAAAGAAAGAAAGGGCTACGATTCAGGCAAAAGACCAAACTTCACTCTCCTATTCTGTTTTGTGAAATAAATAGCATTTGCGGCGAGGGATTTACTTTAGATGGACTTGTGACTTGGCTGAATGGGGCTGAGATGAATGATGATATTTGAATCTGCATTGTTTTTGGAGGCGGGGGGTGAGATGAAGTGGAATGGAATGGAGTGGAGTGGAGTGGAGCGAAGTAGGTGGATGCAGATTTTTTGAGGAGTGGGTGTGTATGTATTATATTGTGTTAAAAATGAAATATGTATCATCTTCAATCTTTATTTGTTGTTGTTTTGGTGGTGGTCGTGTAGTGGTGGTGCTTTTTGTGGTTGGGAATGGGATGTGAATGTGAGGACTTGAAGGGGGGCAGGGAGGTAGGGAGGTAGGGAGGTAGGGAGGGTAGGGAGGTAGGGAGTAGGGAGGGAGATTTTATTCTGCTGTTTTGATGATACTGATGTTGTGTATTGAATAGTGCTCTCCTCCGGGTTATATCTAGGTGTGTAGACTTTTTCACATCCTGTCTGAATTTTTTGAATTTTTTGATTTTTAAATGATGAGTTTTTCTGTTTTGCTCTTTATGTTTTGGATATGAGGCATTGGATGGATGAATGGATGACTGAATAATGGATGGATGAATTAAAAAGTTAAAAAAACATCTCGATTTCCATAGACGAAAGTGTTTTTACGCGCAGAGCGAAGAGAGATGACCGTAGTAGAGGTTTCCTTTTCCCTTCCCGATCGCTTCTCAACCCCATTATTTCTCTACTCCCACATATATCTTCATACGTTTATGCTACTCCTCTGCTTCATCGGTAGATTCGCCAAAGGCATAAACGGACACATTTGTTCTTGTGTATGTGTGTGAATCTCTGAGTACTAGTTTTGATGACGATTTGATTTTTGCGTTAGTTTTTACATCGGTTTTGGTTTCAGTCTTTGTATCTATTTCTATTTCTGTTTCTGTTTCTGTTTTGTGGATTGTGATTGTGAATGTGAATGTGAGTGTGAGTGTGAGTGTGAGTGTGAGTGTGAGTATGAATATGAGTGTGAGAGTGTATGTGAGGGATGTCTCTTTTCCCACATTTCTTGCTGTTCGGTGCGGAATTGATGGAAGAGAGTTAGAGCGTCGAGATGATCCTGTGCGTCGTCGGGTGAGAAGCCGTAGTCGAGTTTGAAGGATTGGAAACCGGTGGGGTAGCCGAGATCGTGCAGCCACTGGGAGGGGAAGAGGGAGAAATTAGTGTGGGTTTAACGGGGGGGAGGTTTGTGTGGATGTGGAGTCTCGTGTATTGTAATAAGGAGGTTAGTGAACGAGTTAAGCTTACTTGGGTGTCGGACTTGGTATTGGGAGCGGGAGAGGAACGGGGTGTCATTTTGTAGTGGGTGGGATGAGAGTCAAATGCGTCAAATTTGTTAGGATATCAAGAAGTCGATTGGACTTCAGGATGTTTGAAGGTTTGATCCTTGATGTTGAACTCACTGCTATTGAAGTAATTGTTGTCAATCTAGACAAGAGAGTCTGAGAGAGGTTCAAGCTCTGGTTGAAGTTTCCTTACCAGAATATTGAACAAAGAGTAATGAATGAAAGAAATAAAGCTGATTCAATGTAACAATAAACGATAGTTAAACAAAGAGAACGACGGCCAATTTCACAACGCAACCGATACTGTGTCTGTTCCTGATTACTTTACTAGCAGCTTTCTAGAACGTGGAACATTCGAAGAATAAAGGAGTTCGAGCTTCCGAACACACCACTAAGTGTGGGTAACCCCTTCGATGTCGTTTTTTGAATATATTATCATGTCTTCAAGACTTTAGAAGAACGGCTGGTACTCACTGGTATCCAACTACATCATAATGAAAAAAGCGATAACACCCTAAAAGCACCCGCACGCAAGCAACTTAGCAACTTAGCAACTTAGCAACTCTCGACAAGCTCACTAACCCAAAAGAGATGACCTCTGGATAGGGCTGCAGATTAAAGATGCAAGTAGTCCTGGTCTCTTGATATTTGTAGTTCATATCTGACTACATGCGTACAAGAGGTAGGTAGGATATCAATATTGACTCAAAAGGACTCGGAACGTCTATACCCGATGGTCTCGAGTATCTCGACTAGGGGTAATCATATCATTCATCTCATATCTGGGTGAGAAGCAGAAGTCTTTGCGTACGGTACCTCTCTTTTAGGAAGCGATGCAATGCAATGCAGATAAAGGAATGGATATACTATTGTGCCTGTATATCCATGTTCAAGTAAACATTGTGAACCCAACCCACCTCACGCCACTCTCAGTCCAAGCTGGAGCTTCCCGCTTCATTAAAGTTTAGTGGCAGTTAAATATATCAATTTCTGATTGGCTCACGTGTTTAACTTTAAACGAAGTGGCTTAACCTTAGCTTGGCCCCTCCAAATCCCCAGCCATAGAGCAAGCTTGGAAGCTTGAGCACTTTCCAACGGTTACTATTTAGGACCAAAAATAAGGAAAGCTCCAGCCTTATTGTTATTATTGTTACATGAGAGAGTCATTTTATTTTGATTGGGGTTGCGATCCTACTTCGAAGATCAGCTTGAAATTGAATACTTGGTTGTATTCAACATCCTCTTCAATATGGATTCTGATGATAATGGTTTGGTGACTATTGAGAAGAACCATTTTGAAGCTTTGCTGAGAAGGTAAAATGAATGATCTTCCTTTAACCCTGCTGTACGAGATGTACGCAATGTCTTAGCTGCGTGCAATCACTAACCGTTTTGCCCCACAACAGAGCTGACTTCGTATGTCGATATCGATATTTCTTGAGAGGTCGATTGAACGCCAAATACTTATTTGTTTATGTGTAGAATGGTTCGGAGGGTGGAGATTTTGATGCTTCTCAAGATGCCGACAACATTACAATTTCGAGAAAGGAGTATGATACCTTGGTGAGCATCTCACCCCATTGCACATTGTGAATTGACAGAAACCTCGACTAATAAATACCCTTTCTTGTGGTAGAAGCAATCCGTTCGTGAATATGGTACGCCCTTCATCCATACATATGAGAGACATTACTTAATATAGTGAATGTGAGAGACTGATTCAATAATCCAGAGAATCTGCGACGCAGCCTTATTAACGGTGGTATTACGGAGGAGACCTTGAATGTGAGTTTTTGAAGTTGTGGCATCCAAGTACCTACAAATTTCTGTTTGCTAACATGACTTTTTCAAGAGCTTAACCAAGGGTGACGATGAAAATGGAGCTGATCAGAGTGCTGCCTCGAATGTGTCTGCGACGCATGAAGATCCTGATGAAAGCACTACCTTTATGACACAAAGTCCTCCTCCATTGACTCCAATTGACCATGGTCACCAAGTTTATACATATGGCACGCCCCGAACTGGTACAATATTTGCAAGTCGTCCTCAAGAATACAAAAGCTCTCAAAATCATAAATTTCAGTATCAAGAGACCCCGAACCAAAATCTGCATACCAGTGGTCACGACGACAATAATACTTTCGATTTTGAGGCCGAAAACAATTCGGAGACTAATTCTCGGCGCCCATCTTATGAGAAGTTTGCCCAGCGTACTATACAATTGTACAACCTCTCAGATGGTACTACACATGCAGATGTTTGCGATGCTGTTAGGGGAGGGATGTTGTTAGATATGTATCTTCGCACTCATGATCATACTGCGATTATATCGTTCCTCGAACAGGCCCAAGCTAATGAGTTCTTTCGTCATGTCAAACGCAATGATTTGTATGTCCGTTCAAAGAGGGTGCGTGGTCCTGAGTATACATCCATACTCAAACAACTGACGGTCCGTAGGTCGACATTCGATGGCATGATAGGCAATTCATCTTACCAGATCACATCGCAAATCAAGTAAGGATTGGAGCTACTAGAAACCTTTTCATTCAAAAGTGCAGCCCCAACTTTACCGAAGAAGTCATCCGGGATGATCTTGAGCACATCCATAACCTGGTATTGATTAAGATTGTGTTCAATGGTTCCAGTGCTTTCATCTCGACCAATTCTGTTCATAATGCAATGTTTGCTCGTACTTGCATGATGAGTCGTGGGTATGTTGCTTTCATCTATCACTTTAGAGCTCGCTAACTCTTCTTTAGCGCTTATAGGAATTCGAAGATTAAATGGGCTCGTGATGAATGTGCAGCACCACTACCGAGGCGCCCAAGTCCTCAATTCGACAATCCTCCCATCCCAAAGAAGCAGAACACCCCTTTGGCCAATCGTTTCGAACCTCTCAACATTTATAGGGAGGACGAATCAGAGACTGACACCGAGGGCAAAGAAAACAAAATTGTAGGCGCTGATGGTGTAGATGGGAATGCGAGAATAAGACAACGGGGAGGGGCAGGAGTAAGAGAGCAAGATGAAGAAGTGATGGCGTGATAATGGGCATGGGTATTCCAGCTGTGAATCTTCATATACCTGGACTTGGTGCCTACAGGACCGACGACGGGGATAGATTTGTCGACCAGAACACTTTTCGATTCATCCGAAAAGGCTGAAGATTGGTGAATACCATCCCTTACATCGAGCTATGTACTAGGGTTGGGAGGCGTTACCATGAGGAGTCTGTTTATTTGTGTATTTTCTGGTTCAGATACCCCTTGAAGAATGGTCTGTTTGTGCTTCGGATATGTAATTGGTCTGATGAAATGGTAATTTTCACTGTAAGCGTGGATGACTAGGAGGGTACTTACAAACTGTACTCTGTATAGAAACATCCATAGGTACCTAGTACTTATACGGTCAATAGCGTTATCGCAGCGGAATAATCAAAAGTTTTTGAAAGTCCAATTTCTTGTCTGCGGGTCGTCCACGGATTAATAAAGTCCGCCTACTGGTAGCATGTTAACAGATTCAAGAAGGATGGATCTGAGGGGTCATTCTATCTAAAAATAGTGCACCCCTCCTTTGTTGACTAAGGTTATATCACGTGTAGATTATCACAATCTTATCGTATTCGAACGCGCGGTCACCCAATCGATCGCCCTCTCTTGAACCTTCCTCCTCGCCTTCCCAGATTCCGGTTTCATATGCAAAAATAGCCAGAAACCACATGAACTTCAAACTTTCACTAAAATCAAACTGTATGAAAAAACACCTCTCTTATATCTCATAACATCGGCATCTATAATGTAAAGGTAGATACAACATCTACTCAAGCAATCAATGCCCATACTTCCAGACGATAAATGCGACGACGCCTGTGTCATGCCAGGTCATCAAAACCGCTCTTTGAGCTCTGCATCATTCTCGACACTCGCCTTCTCTTCTATTCCCTTGATTCTAACGTTTCTCGTCGTCAGTCTCGTCGTTCTTCAGAAGCTCTTCCCATTGTTAGCTGGTCTACAACAATCCAAGGAAGATCATATTCATTATCTCCCTAGCGATGCCCCTCCCAGTTTGCGACAATCGCATAAAGAATATGGCAAGAAAACTGCAAGAAGAAAGGCTATAGCTATCTCATTCTCTACTACCATTGCGTTAGCTACAGTGCTCGCAGAATTGATTCTCTGCGAAATCTCGAATTACCTAAATCCAGCGGCAAGGGCGTTTGCGCTCAAGATAACGGTTCCTACACTTTTATTTCTACTGGTTGTTCTTATACCGTTTCTCGAATTGCAATCAATTATTGCAGGGCTTGGGTGGTCATTCAGCGTATCGAAGAAAGGAGGACTTTCTACGACTGCCTGGCTCCTTCAAGCTACTGGTTTTGCAATATGGTTGATGGGGTTTTGGTGGCTGGGGAAAGGGATACCGGGAACTTATATCCACACAATGGCATCTTTACCCGGCAAGGGACTTAGCGAAGCTTGCTTGGATAGAGTTGGTATCATCGGAATCTCTTTGATGGCTCTACTTTCTGGGTTTGCGGCTGTCTCTGCCCCTTGGCAAACATTTGGCGCAAGGCCGAAACCTGTTTCGGAAGCTGATATTGCACGGAAGCAAGCAGGCTTAAATGCTACGAATGATATGCTTGCTGTAAAACGAAGCCGATTAAGAGCTCTTCAGCGCAAAGTTAATGATCATCCAGCTGAAGGATTCATGGCGAAGGTTATTGGAAGCATACGAGGAAATACTGAAGTACAAGAATTGAAGGCTTTGGAGCTAGAGATATCTGGACTTTCGTCTATGGCTCAAAACCTTTCCACCTCGCTATCGATGTTGCAAAACCGTTACGCAACGAAACAACGATCCTCTTCACCTCTCGGTAAAATCGTCTTCACGCCCATTTCTTACGCGTTTTCGTTATATTGTATGTATCGCATTGGAACGACTACGTTGGCTGTTCTTCGACGTCTTCTCTTTCCGACCGACCCTGCATTCTTCAATTCATCATCCACGGATCCGGTGAATCGTATTCTCTCTCTCTTCGCTAAGCACGTAAATCCAGCTTTTGATCAATTAGCATGGTCTCGTCAAATATCCTTTCTCTTATCGGCTGTAATCCTCTTCGCCTCCTTCAATTCCGTACTTCAGACCTTCCATATGCTCACCAAAATCTCACCGTCGCTCCTCTACCAAGCTCAAGCTAATCTGGCACTCATCGTTGCACAAATCAGCGCAATGTATGTCATATCCAATGCGTTACTTCTGAGAAGTAACCTTCCATCAGAGATGAAAAGTGTAGTGAGCGATGCACTTGGCAGTCCATTAGAACCGGGTTTTGTAGAAACTTGGTTTGAGGGATGGTTTTTGGTTGCTAGTATTGGAACCGCAGTGGGAATTTTTGTGGGTAGAAAGATTCTCGGTTCGGGCTCAGACTGGGATGATGAGTATGAAGGTGATATGGAGTTGGGACCAAAGCAATCTTGAGAAAAATGGTTTGGGTTTGGATTAGGCATAATTGAGACGCATATTTTGTAGAGGCGTGTATTGTATTTTTATGGGAGTTTGATGACTGAACGGTTTAAACTTGATGGGTATACCTAGGGTGGATTATTTTCGTTGATTTTTACAGTATTCGAATATGGGTTCAGGAGGGGTTACATGGTATATGAATGATGATAACGAGGGAGTAGTAGTAGCAGTATAGCAACATATCGCCGGGTTATCCTGGTGACTACGTGCCTTTGTTAAAGTAATGATCTCTATAAGCCAGCCCCTTAAAATTCACTTGATACCTAGTGACTACCACTATAGGACCGTTTGTAAATACAAATAGATAGACTTGCTAGAGCTACAAGCTTTAGCCGTCCTACATAGTCTTAGACTGATACAGGACGTTAATGGAATAACCAATCAATCAATCGATGATCTTTATACAGATACAGTGGGAAGCATAGGGGAGAAAACAAAAGGGTACTAGGACGGGTATGACTTAGATTGAGGAACTAAGTAGGAGAGGAGGGGGAAGGTTATATAAGATCTGTGTGAACGAAGTGAATGACTTCAATTCAATGGCTACTGTAATATAGCTACTATAGTAAAGCCCTAAGCGAATACGAAAGAGACTAGCGCTTTCGGTAAGTCCATATAAGACTTACTACTTTCAATACATAGCCTAGGTAGCTCTTGATCGAGACAGCAGTGATCCGGCGCTGATGCTTGTGGTCATAACTTCATTCAAGGCCATTTTCCAGACGAGATAAACACACCTGTTGGGTTGATTGGCTCTTAAATTTTTTTTCTGAATCTTAAAAAAAAAAATGTACGGGGCTTACAATCTTCATCTTCACAACCAAGCCCGAAATACAGCATCATATAAACTTTAGTCAGATTAGTTTTGACACAGCAATATATGTTGGAATCTCCGATCACAATTTGGTGGAGCTTCGGATTGCTCTTTAATCCTCAGTTTAATTATCTCACGGTTCAGCATCCTCGATTTGTTATCATTGTTTCTTTGTACCCAGAAAATGATCAAACAAAATGGACTGGAATGGGTGGCCAAGACATTTGGTCTCGAGCCGCGTTGGACATCTGAGCCGGATATCGCAAAAGTCGAATCAATCGCTCGAAAGCACTTTAACCTCAAAGAAAATGATTTCTGCCATCTTAGCTTTTATACTGAAGGGGCTTTCAATAAACTATACAAAGTCGAGACTGAAGGTGAATGCTTCTCAGTTCGCGTTACATTGCCTGTCGACCCCTTCAACAAAACAAACAGTGAGGTGGCAACTATCAACTTCATTCGCCAAACTACGGATATATCGGTGCCCCAGATTCTTGCGTTTGATGATACTAATGAGAACGAGCTTGGGTTTGAATGGATACTGATGGCTATGCTACCTGGTGGGAATTTGCGAACGAAATGGAGGAAATTGTCCCAAGATTCCAAACAAAATTTGGTCAAGCAGATTGTACGATACCAAGCCCAGCTTTTCCGTCACAAGTTCTCTACTATTGGCAATATATTAGTTACTCCAGAATCTCAACTTGTAAAAGGAAGTCTGTCTTCCAATATATTATCAGTTAGTGCTAAAGGAACACTACAAGATTTACAACAGATATCACTTACTCCAGGACAAATAGTGTCAATGTTCTTCTTCTGGGGAGATCATATTACACAAGATGTGCCCCGAGGACCATTCACCAAAAGCAAAGACTGGCTCTGCGCTCGTCTCACCTTGGCTATTACCGACCAGGAAGGAATTCTCAAAACAACCGACGACGAAGACGAGATTGAAGACGCGCAGGATGCCAAAATCCTCGCTGAGAGACTTCTTAAACTACTTCCCAGCGTTTTTCCTACCACCGACTCCATTCCAGAGCAATCTGTGCTCTTCCATGACGACTTATCTTCGCGAAATATCTTAATAGACGATGACGGCACCATCACCGGAATCGTCGACTGGGAGTGCGTCTCCACACTCCCATCATGGAAAGCCTGCGACTTCCCAGAATTCCTTAAAGGGAGGGAAAGAAACGAGGAGCCGAACAGAAACCAGTACACTCCGGATGACGAGGAAAACGTCAATGAGTCTGCAGCAGATGCTCTTGATAATGAAGGAATTAACGAGCTCTATTGGGAGCACCTTTTAGAGTACGAATCGACAATGCTCCGCGCCCTTTTTCTAGACGAAATGCAGAAAATTGTACCAGAATGGATCGAAGAGTCTACGAAAGGGGCAGTGAAAGCGGATTTTGAAGCGGCGGTGCAGAATTGCGATGGTGGGTGGTCTGTGAAGCGGATCACGGTGTGGCTTGATGCACTTGAGAAGGGCGAGAATTGGAGTTTGAGAAAGAAGCTTATTGAGTAGGTTTAGACTGCTATGGTTTCTTTTTCCCCCACATACAATTTCTTAGTTTAAATGGAATTATAAGATAGAACTACTTTATCTTGCGTTGTTTCACTTTACATGATCTTCGATATACTGTGAAATAACACCGTACTAGTGGTTTAGTTTGGTTTTCCTTTCTTTCCAGATACGCCTCTTATTGTTATGTAGCTGCAGAGCCTCTAATCCCATTCGGGACTAGATGGGCGAGGCCCACGATAACCTCATCCTTCTCTACACTACCGACACCTTCCTACCTTAGTCAACTCAATATTAATTGTTGGTATCATTATGGAGATGGTGTAGTCAATATAGTACTATGATTCACACTATTGTAATATTGCTTAAGGTTCTAAAAGCTAGGACTACGAAACGTATTGCTGTAGTGCCGAAAGGCGCTAGCGCAAGCGACAGCACGGTCACATGATCACTATCCCGACATTTGAATATAAATAAAGGTATATTATTAGTAAGAAGGTATTGAGTTAAAGAGGAATAAGAAGACTATAAAGATAGCTATTTTTGACTTTCTTTTAATTATTATAATAATATTAAAAATGAAAAACGAATAATAGTAATAAATAAGAACTATAGCTTTTAGTAGAAGAAGAGAGAGTAGAGTTCGCGCTAA